ACTTCTACTCACATCCCTGAGCGACCACTCTCAGTATTGTTCCACAAGCTATGGCCCACTAGAGAAGGCGACATGCTTTCTGTGCTGAGAAGCTTATCAGGAGGCAGAATCAGGAAGAAGTGCCCTGCACTTTAATTCTCCTTAAGACCACCATATCAAGGACCTAAACAAATAAAAAGCCACAACACATGGTTTCTCTCCCTGGACACTTCCCCTTTGTATATCAGTTCCAACCTAATGTTAGGATGGTCCTCATCTTAAGAAGCAGTTAATAACAGTTTAGTGTAGACAAAGTACATTTTCTACTTGGATCTGAAAATCAAGAAAATCCCATATTTGATTCTTAATTCCTTCACACACTTGTTTTGTCACACACTTTTGTTTTACAATTTGGAATCCCATTTCTTCCTTCCTTATGAGATTTCTGATTTAATTCCAAATCAAGGGCTCAGGTAGATAAGTTAGGAGGCTAGCTTTCTGTTTGTGTTGGCTACTCTAGCTTTAGAAAATCTTTTATTTGAAAAAGCAAAATATATATCTCAAGAATAATTAAATATCCTATTTGAGCAGAGATGTATGATGGTTTTTTAGAAACTGTGAGTATGAAGGAAATGCTCATGGAAACTAAAATAAAGCAATTTACAAGACAGCATTTCTGGTTGAAGCATTGATTTTTTAAGAATACATATACAATTCATTCATACATAATTGGAAGACTATGCTATAATGTTATCGTTTTTTATCTGGGGCATAAGCATTTTAAAATTTTATTCTTTCTGCTTTTCTGTATGTTAAATTGTCTAATTTACATTTCAAAAGTTGAAAAAATATTGAAGCTAAAAATAGAGCTCATGTTAAAAAAAAAAGTCCCATTCTAATATTTCCAAGATGAAGTCCTTAGTACCTAGAGTGAAGCCCTGAAGCCCACTGAGGGCCAGGGATGTTTTTACAAGAGATCTCTTCTGCTTTCAGCTAAGAAAACAATAGCGGCACTCCAGTTAGGCTTGAGCCGTTCCTAGCAAGGGAAACCACCTGAAGTGTGGTCAAGGTCAATAAAATACAGTAAGTTTGGTTGATTTCCTTAGCACCAAGTTAGCTATTTTTTTTTTTTTGTTAAAGTGATTAAAAAATGCTTTGTATATCAGGATTTGTGAAACCAAAACATAGTTTTGTGTGACCTGAGTTCTATTTTATAGGTTGGAATGAACAGGGTAAGAGAGTTGCTTTAGTCTCTATCGCTATTGATTTAAATTACTTGTTTCAAATAACATTTTAAATATTAATTCTAAAAGTTTCCCTTAAATTCAGTATAGTAATATGGTAAAGTTATAAAACAGGAAGCCTTTTAGTAATCACAAAATGTCAATGATCTTAAATCAAATCTGAGTATTAGGATTTTCATTTAAACTATGTTTTACCTGTAATATCCTTGAGATCTAATATTAAAATATAAGTGACAATAAAAGTGATTAAAATACATTTCTTTATGAATAAGTTATGCATCACATTAAGTTGAAGAATTACACTGGGGGATATTATAATAACTCATTACAGTATAACTAGAACAGAACTTTTGTATTTTTTTTTTTTTTTTTCTGGTCCCGGGGATTGAACTCATGATTTTGTACCTGCTAAGGAGGCACTTACACCACTGAGCTAAATCTCTGGCCCAAATCCTTGTATTTGTAGAAGTGGTATCTTTTCAAATTATTCCTTCCTTTAAATTTACTGAACTACTTAAAAATGACATTAAAATTATAAGACTATAACATTGAAATAAAAATGTAAAAAAAGATGAACTCTTTTTAAAAAGATGTGAAATTACCCCAGTTTAGTAAAATGCTTTGTGACTCATCTGTTCAGGAAATCTTACTCCTAGGGTGTGAGAGAAGGTGATGAGAAACATGCAAGCTCGTCACGTGACTATTTCCCCTTTTTTTCATCACGGGATTATTTTCTGGAAAAAATGTAACTTCATTGAGAGTATGTTTTTATTTAAGATTACTTAAATAATTGTGGAACACCTGTGTTATACTGTGATAGAAAATCTGCACTTCAGACATGCTTATTTTGGAATTTCTACTTTCTTCCCAGTACTCAGCAGTATTTGTTTTGTAGACCGCAGACCCATAGGCATTTTGACATCTACCTTACATTATTTACTTATATTTAACTTGGTAGTCTCATATATTCTTACATATTATAACAGCATGTAGCTATAGAAAAAATAAAATATTGTAATTAGCAATATTGATTATCTAGATTTAAATTGATTTCTATTTTGTTAACACAAGAAAAAGAAATAGCTACATCAACAGAGAAAGCTCTTAGGGAAAAAAATACATTATTCTTGTTTTGTGCATCTGTAGGTTCACATTTGAGATTCTAGAATAGAAAAGTAGTATCTGATAAGGCCTAAATAAATACTATGAGCTGATTTGTGCATTCTACTTTTAAAAATTTAAAACATTTAGAAACTTTCTTTGGGGGGATGAACTTATAAACAAAATAGATCAATGAGTGACATTTTGACTGAAATAAATAACATATTTATAGATGCTATTATGTTTTAAAATGGCCATAGTTTAAGGAGTAGGTGGGGGAGGAAAACTACTGAATAATTTTGTCTCATTACTGTTATCAGATTAAAGTATGCTTGATTTAAATGGGTTTGAACTTAATGAATACAACAAACTGCTATGAAGTTCTACCTTTTCATATCAAAATGAAAACACTGGGGACTCATACTCATGAGAACCACGTTGGAGAAAGATAATTGATCCAGGCAAAAACACTTTCAGGGAAAGTACAACAAAAGAAACCTGACTACATGTGTAAAATGAGTGCTCCCTAAGCTCTACTCTTACAAGTGGTAGATTTGGATGGGATTATAATTGAGTCCACTGAGAGGTATTTGTTATATCATTGAATGCTTTTTAAATGGAAGCAAACTCAAGCCTGGAGAGGTCTGCTCGGCTTTCCTCAAAGTTACAAATACTTTAACTTTTAAAAAAAGACACCAGTAAAACTACTTTAAACAGATATATGATAAATTTTTTTAATTCCTCTGTGTAAATTCAAAGATAAATTTTTCAAGATAGACAGCTATGTGGATTTTGGTATTTGAAATCTGAAGAAACTCTTGGCAATATTGTGGTAACTAATGGTTCTATGTTGGCTCAGTTAAGAAACAGGAGAAAGTCCTTAAAAACTTCTGATTTTCACATTCAAAAAACTGAAGACTGGAACTTTGACAAAAAAAGAAAGTTATTATCTAAATATAACAAAATAATGTAACACTTTATTTTCAAGAAATAACTATTTACTATTTTGATAAATTTACAGAGAATACTACTCAAATATATCATGCCACATTAGTTGAGTCCATTTACAGGCTGAAATTTGTTACTGTTTTTCTACTCAACAAATACACTGAATGCCTAATGAATGTCAAACATGACTGTAGGCCCTGTGGATAGAAAGCAAAACAAACAAGATCCCCGCTCATGGAACTTAGTTAATAAACTTTTTCACTGGCACTTGTGCTAGCAATGTAATCACATGTTAATTTTAAAAAGAATGTGAGTAGTGTTCTATCATATTAAAAACAAAACCACATCTTTTTATCCATTCTGCAATTGATGGGCATTTGGGTAGTTTCCAAGATTTAGCTATTATGAATTATGCTGCTACAAATGTGGGTGCACATATATCACTGTGGTATGATGTTTTTAATTCTTCTGGGAAGCTACCCATTCCTAAGAGGAATAACTGGGTCCAATGGGACCTCTAGTCCTAGTTTTTTGAGACATTTCCATGCTGCATTCCACAGTGGTTGCGCCCCTAGCATACATTCCCAATGGTAGAAAAGGGTACCTTTTTCCACGCAGCCCCTCCAGCATTTGTTATTGGATGAATCCTTGATGACAGCCATTCTTTCTCGGGTAAGATGGAATCTCACTGTAATTTTATTTCTCTAATGACCAATAATGGTGAACATTTTTTCATATATTATTTGCCATTTGTATTTCTTCCTCTGAGAAGTGTATATTCATCTCAGATGCTCATTTTTGGATTGGGTCTTTTAGCCTCTTTTGAAACTGTTTTACTGTTATTTCTTTTTTCTGTTTAAAATTAAAAAGGATTTAGGATGTCCTGTCTCTAAACAATGTTAAAATTTTCAACGGGGAAATAGCAAACATGTAATAAAACACGTTTTTATCTTAGCCTAGTTGAATAGATATCATTTTGATTAAGTTCGTATTCCTTGAAAGAACAGAAAACAGTGTTAATAAATGCTGCATGGATGGCAAACTTATATAATAGTCTGAATCTTTATTTAGGGAAGAGGTTATATAAATAAAAATTATTGGAACTGACAAAATGCATGGTTCTGAAAAACATCTATAAAGTGTTTTTTTTTTTTTTTTTTTTTGGTACTGGGGATCAAACTAACCACCACGTGCTTGCCAGGCAGGCACTTGTACCACTGAACTATATCCCAGTCCTCTTTTTTGGTCTTTTGGAGACGGGGTTTCACTGTGCAGCTCAGGCTGGCCTTGAGCTCACTTTACTGTAGCCCAGACTCCAGCCCTGCTCCTGTCTCGGCCTCTGGGATGCTGGTATTACAGGTGTGTGGTGTGCCACCACGTCCGACTTGAAATGTTTTTCATTGTATTCATGGGAATTGTTTTGAGTTTTTCAGAAATCTAGTCTCTGTTTCTTCATTTCTTCCTCTCCCCTTTCCTCTCTATCCTCCTTCCTTCCTGCTTGCTTGCTTTTCTGCTTTCTTGTTTTTTTTTAAGTTCACCTCTCATTTTCTAATGCAGCAATCCTTTGGGCGCACCAGGCTTCCTGTAGACCTGCCAGTGGGACCCCTGAGGTGACACCAGCGCCTAGCATTACATCGCCGCCCTCCGCTTTCTTTTCTTCACTTTTTCTTTCTCTTCATACTTGTATAAAAGACACAATAGTTTACACAGTTAACATACTGCACTCACCCTCTTTCTTGGCCACCTTGGAAAATCATCTCTTTGTAGTCATTTTATACCTAGGCACTTGGTATTCTGTGATGAACAAAATAAATAAATTTTATAGCTTTTGATAACTTATATTTACCAACTTTCGGAATATTGTATGTTTCTGGTTAATATTAGGATAATTCAGTAATGTTTATATTGAAGAATCTAACCAATTTGCTTTTGCCAATTTTTATTTGGAGCATTCATTGTTTTTATAATAAAATAAGCAATTCATATCTGTTATAGTTTATAGACTACAACTAATATTTTATGATCACAAGCAACAATTATAAGGAGATTTCTCAGTTAAACATCAAACCAAGGATGTTTGTGATAACTATAATAGCCAAGTGAACCTCCCTAAGAATTTCATGCACTACATTGACATTATCAGGATTTCAACATGTAATTAGGATAGTAACTTTAATGTTCTCAAATCACAAGGAGTATTATGTGGAATTAGAGCAATACTTCTCTTTAGATGTAATCTTTTCCTCCTTTCACTATTCCAGAAAGCCTTCTGGGTGAATCTGGGTTAAGAATATAAGTGATAAGGTTCTCAAAGGCCTATGAAGTGACCCCTTATGGGTAAAAGATTAACACGGACAGGATTTAGATAAGATGCAGACTAAAATGTTGTCCAAAATTTTTCCCTAAATTATTGTATGTTTTAGATTATACAAATGTTAATCATGTCTATATAGTTTCACATTTGTCTTAAATAAAAACCATGCTTTAATTTCCTACCATTGATAACTACTGCTGCTACAGAACATGATGTGCTGAGCTTTTGCTCCAGGTTCCTGGCCCAGCTCCACATTCTCAAGGCATATGTGAACTCCCATTTAAGAGTCACGGGGTCACAAAGCACTAAGAATCCCTGAGCACTCATTGGTACTAAAATGTTCCACATTATCCGGTTTCAGTTTTTCTTATGTGTTACAAGGTAATAAGGCCGCACTTTAGTCTTCACAGAGTCACTGGAAAAATCAAAAGAGGATCAGTAATGTAACAGGCTTATTCAATAATCTAAACTTTTATCAGAAACAAGTATGAAAAGTTTTCCATTTTTCTCCAATTGCCACTTTCAAGTATGTTGCTATTCAGATGCCACAGGTTTCTGATTATTTTCTGCTATTAAAATGCCACTTCAGTCCAATTTAATCTGATTTAAAGTTCTACCTCATATCGATCTGAAACATCACCTTGCATTTCCTTAATTCCAGCAGAGTTTCCACCTAAAAGACTCGGACTGGGGAGGGAAGGGATCAGTGTTTTCATTTCTTCTTCCATTTGGTAGCCTTGTCCTCCAGTGAGTTGGGAGCAGACATGGAGGAAGACTCAATGTCCTTGACTTGAAAGATGCCCGTATAGTCTTTTCTGTTTTCTTGCTTTCTCTATTTAAGATTCTTCCCCCTCTGATACCTCTAAGTGGGTCCCAAACAAAGCAGAGTGCTTCTTGGGAGTTATTTCTGGTATGAAGTTAGGTAAGGGCTTCCCAAAGCCACATATTCTACACTGGAGATCTGCCTCACTTGGTCATTTCTGACTCTCACTGAACTATTCCTGAGACCACATAAATTTCTGTCTTGTACTTTTCACCCTCCAGCACTTTGCTACTACAGACTCTTTTTTTTTTTTTTTTTTTTTGTCTTTTTTCTTTTTTATCGGTACTGGGGATCGAACTCACGACTGCCTGCTTTCAAGGCAGGCGCTTATGCTGCTGAGCTAAACCCCCAGACCGCCTACTACAGATTCTTTACCTGGAAGCATGTCTTCTTGGACACCGAGATGGCTCAGTCAAAGGGATCTGCCATTACATTCTTTGCATCTACAGAGATAAGAGCATATTTTGCCATAAGAAAACGTGGATTCAAGTTGTTAATAAATCAACAATTCTCTGCTTGACTGTCTCTCTCTCTCTCTCTCTCTCTCTCTCTCTCTCTCTCTCTCTCTCACACACACACACACTCTGTTTCTCTCTTCCTACACAAGTGTCCTTGGTGAGCTGAGGTCAGAAAGTCCATCCAGCTCTGAAAGGCCCTCTGAGACTGACTCCCTTTTATTTGGTTTAGGATCAGGAGGAGAAGCACACCCGTCTTCTAAACTTTGAAAGGGTCTCAAGTTTATCAGCCACCACTCTTCAGCTCATCACATAGGAATATAAAGTGAGGCAGCAGCAAATCGAGTTTCTCTGCAAAATCCTATTAAGCTATCAATGCTTGCTAGAACCTGCTTGGAACTGTATACACTTGTACAAATACAAATTCTTATGTTGGCAGCAGAAGCACAAACCACACTCCAGGAAGAACAGTTTCGTGGTTTCTGTACTCATCAAGGAGCAGTAACTTCGCTTGCTCCCTGTGAGATAGTGCCAGCTGGGGAGCGCCTTTGCTAATTGTTTAGGGCTACTGCTGAGACACTGGTGTGTGTTCCTCTTCCCTGCAGGGCTTTGTATTTAGAACCTTCCTTTGACTTTGAGGAAGGCACAGCATATTGTCCTTCATCATTTGTTAAGGTGTTTATGACACAGAGAAGTAACATTTAGTTTTGTACCCCTCAAAAGTATTTGTAATGTTAGCAGTCATTAGAGTCCTATGCCGGGACATATCTTGGTACAGAAGATTTTGTGTCACTTTTCAGTAGGTTTGGACTTCTATGGACTAAAACATCAACCAGAAGCCTGTGAAATTTCTCCACTCCATGGCTGAGTAGGCCGGCACTATTTCTTCCTTTACTATTGGCTTCAGTGTGTGAAAACGAAGCTTTTCAAAGACAGGGAGAAAAAAAAAATGATAACAGCAAACATTATGCAATAGGTAACTCAAAGTCCCACAGTATCACACGGTGCTTCTCAGGGCCAGTGTGATGGTAATGAGTCTCTCATTCTGGCATTATAGTCCCATCTTCTACTCCAAAAAAAGAACTCTTTCAAAATGAACCAACCAATCAAACAAACACAAAAGCCCCATTGCATCTACTGTGTAGTCACACTACCATAGCATAGTCTTTTCAAAGCAAAATTGTGGTCCCCTCCATACACAAAATGTTGTGGAATGTTGCTGGAATAATCCCAAAGAACAAATCCTGGGGGAGGCCTTGCCAGGTTTTGCTTTGCTGGTCACTGATGACACTATTTAACATCCAAGGCAACTGGGTCCCTTGAAATCTGGTGATTTTGTTGATTCCTATAAAATTAGTGGTGCCCAAATCTGTGATAAGAATGATAAACTGGGGATTCCAGTCTCTGTCCCATAAATATTCCTTGGGGCAGACCCTGCTCCTGGCCGCCCCCATAGCGCTGCCAGGGGGTGAAATGTGAGTCCCCACACATCCTTGTTGGTTGCTTTTCTTCCCAGTTTTAGGCAGTCTTTCCTCTTTTTCCTTACTACTCTCTTTTCTCCTGCCTTCAGAAATATCTATTATAACCAACTCACTGAAGTGGGCTTGAGATGGCTAGCATATATGCAGCATTTTTAAAAAATTCGTTGCCAGCATTTAAAAATTAGATGAGTTCATGCAGGAATCCATAAGTCTACTTCTTACAAAATTTTGAAAATCTGGCCTTTACTGCCTGGCAATAACCAGCTGGAGCATAGAAGGACTGCCTCTGTAGATAGTCGTGGTGCTCTAATTCTGCTCAGGTCAGCCTGTGTCATGTTCTTACCTATTTGACCTGCAGATGTGTTTCACTCTGCGATGTTCTCTACTGTGGACTTTCATAAAAGCCAGGGAGAGAGGGGGTAATTTGGGGATATCACAGTAGAGCAAAAGTATAAGCCAAGGTGAGGGAATATAAAGAATCTGGTCACCTTTGCAGAAATAGAAAAGGGAACAAATTTCAAAACAGTACCACAGTAAGTGATCTCTCCTCACTCACAATAAAAACAGCTGTCACATTCAGAGACTTCATCATGGCCTAGACCCCTCTCAGTCGTGATGCCAATCCTTAAAAAACCCACACATAAAGTAAAGCCTGTTATTTTACAGATGGAAAAGCTAAGGCTCAGAGAGAAATTCCTTGCCAATTCACAAAGATAATGACCTAAATGCTGTATGTTATGACTTCCTGATTCTCTCTTCTAATAGATATTAGTGGTCCTTCCTCAAAAGATTAAAGGCATCCAAGTGAATTGCTAAATTTAATTATATCAGACCTTGGCCTGAAAGCACCAAGTCATCTTTGCACTAAGTAATGAGGACTATTTGCAGCTTTCACTGTCATTTCTTCTTTCAAATGGAGGCTATTTTCTAAGCAATTGAAGGTAAGGCTCTAGTACCATGATTTTACAAATAGCAGTTATTCAGTAAATACATTAATTTCATTAGTCCTAGAGGTGGGCTTAAATTTCACTAAATGTGTGTATGTGTGAGTCTGCATGTACAGGGGGAGAGGCAGAAGAATACAATCCATGATGTCTTCTGTCATGGGCCACAGAAGAAAGAAAAAATAGAGAAATACATCAAAGTAAAATGTTTTCTAAAACATTAAACAGCTACAAGAAGAGAAAGACTTAAAATAAAATGCTTTATTTTGCTTAGGAATTTTTTTGATAGAAAGAGGAAATAGAAAGCTATCTAATACATTTAGCTTAGGGTGACCAGTGCATTTAGTATCTGTCAGTTTGAATTTGCATGCTTACGTGTTTATTATATAATGAATTTCTGCTGTTCGATATCTATTTGCATATTGTATGTTATTAGTGTTTGCTTATTATTTTGAAATAGTAATTCATACTTCATAAACATAATAAAATTTTCCCTCATGAATTTAAGCTAAAATGTGATCATTTATGCTAGAACTGAAATTACTGCTGTTTAATATAGCATATGAGAGGAAATTAGATTTCAGGACAACAGATATAGATGGTGATGGAACTATAATTCCATTTCTAGATAGGAAACTTCACATCATTAATATGTAGAGTCTCTAATAAAACAACATGCAAACTAACTTGATAAGTTTTCTGATGAGCTTGATAAGCTCTGATGAGGTGATTTTATCTACTTATTAGTATATATTAGTAATCAGAATACTGAGGTTTGCTTCAGGAAATTGGTACATGAAAACACACGAATAGAATGCATCTTGATCATTTTCAATCCACTTACTCTTCTCCCTTTTCTCCCCTGACCACCTTCTCTACCTCCAAAAGTCTACCTTCTAGTTTCCTTTTGATAAAGTGATTTTAGAAATAATAATGTTTGGGAAAGAAATCCTGATAAATAAATGCCTAAATTTTACTATGTGAAAGCCCCCTACTCTTCCCTTCCCACCTTGCAGCCGGGGCTCAAACTTAGGGCCTCATACAACCTTGCACTTGCCAGCCGGTGCTGTGCTGCTGAGCTATAACCCTGCCCTGTTCCCCATGAAAGGTCAATGACTTGAGATTATTCTCTGGCATGGAGTAATGGTTTCTAATCTAGGTCATACCTTTCTGGATAGTGTAAAGCAAACTCCTGGTTCTTTTATAGCCACTAATTCAGCTCTGTGATCTTCATATAAAAAGATAATGAATAAGTGACACCCCATTTAAACTCTAAGAAATCATGTATGCTGTTATTTTATAGCTGAAACCAAGGCTTAAAGTGGTAAAATGATTTGTCTAAGGCAACTCGGCATGTAAATGGCAAAAGTAGGTCCAAAACTAATCTCCTGGGTTAACTCTTTCCAATGAAGACATTTAATCTCACAGTGTGGGCCTCCCTGGTCTACAGATAGGTACTGCTAAGTACTTTTTATTTTGCTTGTCATTGATTTTCTTAATATTTAAGTTCTGTCAATATAAACATATTTATTAGATCTCTCAACAGATTGAACATATCATATGTTCAATGACAACGTTGGTATTGTAACAAGGAAATTTAGGGCACGTAAACCTCTACCAGATATAGAACCCAATTCTTCAACAAAGAATGTTAGGAAATAAAAAGCAAGAATGGGCACTTACAAATAAAAAGAAATGAGATGTGCCAGCCAAAGGCATTGTGTTTTGGAATTTGTTCTAATCCTGATTTGAACAAACTAAGTGAGAAAAAGAAAATCATAGGCAACCAGAGATGTTTGAACAGTATATATTTTAGTGGTATTAAGGAATTACTGTTAATTGTATCATAGAATAGTGATTAAATATTAATATTTCAAAATTTTAAAAAAAACTTTTTGTCTTTTAGAGATATAAATCAAAAGACATACTGTGATGTAACGGATTTCCTTGAAAATAATGCAACCGATGAAGATGACTGGTCTCGTTAAGTGTGGTAGCTGAGTTCTGGGTACTTGGAGATTAATTGTTTTTTTTTTTTTTTTTTTTTGTATTTTAAGTATGTTTGATATCTTTCACAAAAGAATAGTGTTCAACAAGGAACACAAAGTACCGTGGCCCAATCTCCACACCCTCCTCCTCATGATTTGAGCACAGAGAGGAGAAAAAGGAGAATAATATAAGAAAATAAGAAAAGGGCCAGAGAGATTAAGTTACTTGTTTTCAAAACAACAACTTCTAAATTTACAGACTAAAAAGCAGCGGATTTAGGCTCACTCCCTTGGGCTGGCCCAACTCACTAGCTTCGTTGTTTTCCTCACTAGTTGTGAATTATTTTTTAAAGCGGAATTATTACAAAATTTAATGTTTAAAATACCCATAACTGACCTGGTTTTCTGGGTTGTAAGCTAAATAACCTGGAAAAGATTTCTAATCTGCCCTGAAATACAATCTTGGGGGACGGGAAAAGGAAATGCATTTGACAGTATTTCTACACCTGAACTTTTGGTCTCACTTTGCGACCCTGACATTCATCAAGAACAGGCTACCCCTTTAGGATTGCTGCCTAAGGGACGACGCTGTGGTCTGGGGATTTCTGGGTTAAGGAAATTCTGGGCGACTCCCCGAAAGGCCATCAGCTCACCTCGCCGCACCCGACCTCACCCCACCTCACTCCTTACCTCACCTCACCTCACCTTCAAAGATCAGCGCAAGAATGACGAAGAGCCTTCAGAATCCAGATTGAATCAGCTTCCTGTGATTTAACTTTTCAGCAATATCTACACTCCGTGCCTGGAAAAAGCTACTTTCTATAAAAATTTCCCATTGCTGTATTTCTCGGCAGGTGGGGGGTGGTTACAAGAGAGAATACGGTACGGCGCGCCCTCCCCCTGCAAGCGGTAGTACGGCAGTGCGCCTGCGCGGCCGTGCTGCGCACACGCCCGCGTCGCCTCATCCGACCCGCAGGGGGCGCTGTGCAGTAATGAAAGCGATCCGCGGCCGACGGCGCCGCAGTGAGCGTGAAAGGGCGGAAGGTGCCGCGGGCTGAGGGCCGTTCTATACGCGCCTGCCCGCTCTCTATTAGCCTTTGTCCTCCAGCGTCCCCCGCGCCGGGCCCGCGGGCCTGGTTGCTACGCGGAAGAGGGGCGCGGCGGCGTCCGGGCTACTGCCCGGGCATTTGAAAAGCGACCGAAGCGGCGGCAAAAGGTCTTCGGGCGGCGGGCTTGCCTTGGCGGCACACGGGCAGGGCCGGGGCGCCGAGTTGTTTTTGCTGGAGCCTGGAGCCGAGGCTGTCGGGGCCCGGGCTCGGGCTGGGGCCGGGCCGTGGGCGGGCGGCGGTTCCCGCGGGGGTCCAGTCCAGGTCCTGCCGGGGTCCCTCCCGTCGGGTCCTGGGGTGCCCGCGACTCATCGCGCCCTCTCCCTACAGACCCCGCCGCCGCCGCCGCCGCCGCTGCCGCCATGGTCTCCAAGCCCGACCCGCTGCTCGTCGTCGTGTCCATCCTGGAAGGTGAGGGCCTCGAGGGGCGGCATCGGTCACCGGGGCGCCCGCCGCCTCTGCCCTGCCCCGAGACCGGACGCCGACTGCGGGGCTGCGGGGCTGGCGCGGCAAGAGACCCGGGAGCGCGGGGATGACTCGTGCGAGTGCGTCTGGCTTCACGAAGGGGCGCAGGCGAGGCGTCTCGAGAACACACAGCGCCTCTGCTAGAACTTTGCCGGTGGCTGGGATGCAGTGTTCTGACGCTTCGGTATTTTAGGGACCTTCCACTGACCGTCTTGGTGGAGGGGTCCTGGGATCTGACACTGTGGAGAAGCTGCCCCGTCTGCTCCTTATCTTAGTAATGAGGAAATTACAGTGTTCATCGCGGGCTCGTGAATGTCAGGCACCGGCACAGTGCTGGCTGTGCGTGAACAGCGATGTCTGGTTTGTAAGCTGAGGGCATCGGCGTGGAGAATGTGTCAGACAGTCTATTAGGGTGTAGGACAGGGAGTGACCATCTCTCTGGGGAAGCCAAGGAAGATTTACCAGAGCAGGTGGCATTTATCTACATTGTGTCTGGAAAAACGGAAGGGAAGGTGACGGGAAGAGCAAAGAGCCCTTAAGGAAAAGCAAGGTATGGTTTGCTTATATTGCTCGACATTCATTGTGATGAATGGAGAGTAGAGAGTCTAGGAATTGATAGATAAATTGGGGACAGATTGTAAATAGCCTGATAGGGAGTTACCTTGAGAGCTGTCTGGAGGCCCATGGTTAGACTTTTGTTTCCCCATGGATAGGTATTTTTGTAGAGGCCTAGTAATGCTTAGGGGATGAGAGGGAAAAATGGTGTAAACTTAATTTTAAGTTTTGGATAAGAGATTGGTCCGACTGATCTATACTGAGTTGGGACAGTATTGTTAGATTACTGTTCAAAAATAGGACTAAAATTGTCTTATAATTTGGTTAACAAAGACTTTCAGAGTTATAGCTGTGCCTTATGTATGCTATGAGTAAAAAAAAGGTAATATGAACGTTTCTCTTTGAGGGTATAAAGATCTGTGTACTTAGGAGACCAAATTAATGTGCAGAGTCCCAAATATGTTGAGAAGTGATTTATTAAAAACAATGTCTTAGAGACTAAATGTAGATTTGAAAGGAGGTGTATTGTAGTATCTAAAATAGTGCATAAGCTTTGAATAGATAAGGATAGAGGAATAGAAAATCATTCCAAGTGATGGCACAACCAGGCCAACCAGGGAATGAACATGTTGGGTGGAAAACAAAAGAAAGCAGTAAGATGCCCAGAACAGAAGGCAAATATTTACCACTATCGGATAAGTTGAGTGGATAGGCTTTAGAAGAGCTTGAAAGCAATAGAGTTTAGAGTTCGTATTCTAGAGCTGGGCATAGTGGCTCCCACCTTAATCCCAGCACTCGGCAGACTGAGACAGGAGGATCCCTGTGACTTCAAGCCAGCCAGACCTGCACGGCGAAACTGTATCTCAAAAAACACACACACACAAAACAATATTGTAAGAAGCATTTATGGCAAATGCTTAGTGTGATCAAAATGTATGGTGAACACATATGTGCAGTATTACAGTAAAAGACACGTTGCCTTTAATCCTCCCTCTGAATATTCCCCCTTGCTTCAAATACATTTCATTATTTTTGTCACTTTCTGAAACAGTTCTTGAAGTCCCTATTCATGAGCATGTTTCTGACCACTTTAATCCCATCCAGGTAACTGGAGCCAGCATGAGTAGTAGCAGAAATTTATTTACTTAATCATCAGGAGTGGTGGCCTTTGCCGATGATTTCCAGTGCCCAGGGAAGCTGAGGCAGGAGGATCACAAGCTTGAGGCCAGCTTATGCAATTTAATAAGACCCTATCTTAAAAGAAGGGCAACTTAGAGACATAGTGAGACCCTGTCTCAAACTACAAAACTCTGAAGGATGTACCTCCATGTAAAGACCCTTGGTTCAATCCCCAGCAGCACACATGAAAAAACCCAAACAGCTAAAATTCCATCACTGTGTGAGTGCTTGAAATATACTAGTGTAAATGCATTTTAAACTCTTTTAATTTTAGATGTTATTGACATCATTGAAATTAGGAGCACTGACATAACTTAAGATCTGTTAAACGTAGAGTGTTGGGGCATATGATAGACCACCTGGAGCAGAGTCCACATTTGAACAGGATTCCCAGAGGGTTCATACGCACATTTATACCTGAGAAACACTTACTTACACATTATAACTTGTAATTTGATTCCTGGTTTTTTACGAACGATGAAAGTGACTGTATATGTGTGTTTATGAAATATACGGTAAATTAGCAATTGTTAACATGTATTGGTTTTTAAGACACATGCTAGATGGTCCTGTTTGATTTTTGTACACTTGCAATTCATCTGTAGTCTTATTTCTTCAGGTCGCCATTTCCCTAAACGTCCAAAGCATATGCTTATAGTAGAAGCAAAGTTTGATGGAGAACAGTTGGCTACTGATCCTGTGGAGCATACTAACCAACCAGAATTCGCCACCGAGTTAGCCTGGGAGATTGATAGGAAAGCACTTCATCAACACAGGTGACTTGTTTTCAATTTAGAGAACGAGCTTTTACAAATATTACCTCATTACATTATTGCTATAATCATAATTTCTAGGGTTTTTTAATGTGCTGGGAGATTTTTCAATCACTGTACTTTGTAGTAACTCATTTAAACATCAGAACTGAAGTTAGCATTGTTATTTCTCTACTGTTATAGATGCAGAAGTTAAAGTTAACTAGCTTTAAGAGAAGTTAAATAGCTTGGTAACTTGTGCTAAGTCTGTTCATTGGGTAGTGGTAGTAGATCCCAGCCAATCTAACACAACACTGGGTGTAAAAGGTTTCAACCATTTCAAAACTTTTTTTTTTTTTTTTGCTAATGTGTAAGACACCAGATACTCTAAAAATACCTTGATGAAGCTTTCCAAATAGTGGTTGGAATTCACCACTCTTTGTATTTATTATGATTATTGGCTTGCCAAGGAAATACAAAAGTATCCAATGAAGAAAATTATGAGACTCTTAATTCTGTGTTAGATTAAAGATGCACTTAAAGTTATAGCATCTTATTTTTTTCATGAACTATATAACTAGAAAGTTAAGAACAGCAGTGTTTTTATTAAAAGATTGAAAATGTAGCTCCTGGTAAATAAAATCACTTCAGTCCTTTCTCTTGCAAAACCAGAGGAAGAAAAGCAGGGAGAAACTTACTTGTTGCTACTGCTCGATGGTTCCATAGATCTATTAAAGGAACGTGAAATCCTTAGATTCACACCAAAATGTTGAGTGTCCTCTAGTAGTATCCACAAAGTCTGCTCAGTGCTCCTGTGTAATGTCAGGGCCTTGGTGTGTAGTTGTGTTGTACTTGTTAGTGCTAACTGGTACACCTTTGATTGCTGTAGGCTGAAAAAACACAAATAAATTGAATTTAAAAGTGAGTTATGCTAAGTGCAGTAAAATAGTAAAATTCTACTAGGTACAATTGGTGACAAAGTCTGTCAGCTCAGCAATTTCCAAACAAATAAAGAGTCCATGTTACGCAGTCAGTATCATCTTACAGAACATTGTCATGAATTACAGTAATTTACTAGTTTAAATTTTAATGGTTTGATTTTATGGTGTTTGTATCCTCAGTTTGTTTTTATAACTTCAAAAAGCTGTAAGAATATTTGGATATTATAAAAGTTTAAGAGACATTGACCTAGGACTGGGGATTTAACTCAGCGGCATAAGCACCTGCCTTGCAAGCAGGCAGTCATGAGTTCGATCCCCGGTACTGATAAAAAAAAAAAAAAAAAGAAAGAAAAGAAAAGAAACATTGATGATAGATGATAGATGATAACCTCTTACACAAAAGACTAAAATTTTGACATGGTTTGTATATTCATATATAGATAAGTAGATATAATCACATCCTTGCTAATTGAAGAGGTTTATTTTAGAAACTTTTAATTATTGGAATAATAATCAACAATTTTGTCAAGGACAATAGAAAGTCAATTCAGTATAAGGAAAAAACTAATTTATTGTATGAATTGTTATTTTACAGACTACAACGTACTCCTATCAAACTCCAGTGTTTTGCTGTGGATCCTGTGTCTTCTGCCAAGGAAACCATAGGGTATATTGTTTTGGACTTGAGAAGTGCCCAAGAAACAAAGCAGGTATTGCCTTTTTGATGTTTCGTTAATGGGCACTACTTCTAATAGATACTACAGCAAAGGTAGAAATGTGAAATACTGGGCCTGACATAGACTGTGGTTCTGATGTAGTAGGATACTTCTTATATAATGATACAGGTCATGGTTCTAATATAGTATGATGTATTGTGGCACTTCTTATATTGTAGTTTATGACTTTGCTTTAGAAGAGTCTAGCTTTTTAGCCACTCCTTTGAACTGTCTTTCCCATAGAAACTTACCTTTGAGCCCAAGTGTGTACCAAAGTAGCTGTTGCTACTTGTAAGCTTAACTTTCCAACTCCTGAGCTTTTCTTCTACAGCTTGTCTTCCTGTGCTCCTTGTGTCAGTGAACATTCACTGTTCTCCTTGTAGTTATAAACGAGTTAGAGATACGAATTTCTTGACTCTTTCTCATTCCTTCCTTTGTGGTTGCCCATTGCAGTTTGTTTTTCCCTCTAATGTACTGTTTTTCGTGTTTACTGCTGCAACCTGATCTGGGCTCACTTGTTTCTTTCTTTGGCTAGCATAGCTTGGTTTTCCTCCTCTTCATCCTTGAAGATTCTATCAGAGGAAGGGGTACTGCTTATAAAATACTGTGTTTCAATTAAGTTTTCAATTTACATTGGCATCTGCTTTGGTGTCCTTCAGGTTGCTATAAGTACATAATCCTTATGTTTCTCATAATATTGTAATGACTATTATTGAGTGTTTTTTAATGTGCCAAGAAACTTTGTTGCAATAACTCATTTTAGTACTTTCATTTTAATATCAGAATATCCGTATAATACTGGTGTTATTTCTCTTGTACCATAGACAAAGAACCTGAGTCCTGGGAGGTCAAGTAACTTGCTCTAATTTAGAATAAGTGAACTTACTGAGATACACTTAGTATTACATTAAGTATTCCTTAATATTTAATATCTCCTTCCCCAAAAGAAAGTAACTGATTTTCTGTGTTAGTGCTTGTTTTTATTGAACATGTTTCTTAGGTCTTTTAAAATGTTCTCCAACCTTTTCATATGTGATTGACTTTAGAAAGCTTTCAGTTTTTCTTAGTGTCTTTGTTTGGTCACAGAATTTTTTCTTAAAAACAAAAAAAGTAAAAATTGAAAAAGTTGTCAGGCATGGTGGTTCATGTCTGTAATCCCAGGACTCTGCGAGACTGAAGCAGAAATATTGTAAGTTTGAGCCCAGCTTGTCCAGCTTAGTGAAATCCTGTCCCAAAATAAAAAGGAAAAAGAGTGTAGTTTAATGTGAAGGCCCTGGGTTCAATCCCCTGTTAAAAAAAAAAATTCTCCTCTTTATTTTAAATTCCTTTCATTTTTCCCCCCTCTCCATTCTTGATTTGCGTCTTGGTTTTCATAGAAACCTAATTTATCTGTAATATTTTTATTGCCAACTACAATAATATTTACCAATAAAATGACTCAAAATTGGAACTGTTCAAGCTAAGTTTCTGAATGCTTTATTTTACTTTTTTTTACAGTGGGAATTGAATTCAGGACCTTGGGCTTGCCAGGCAGGTGCTGGGCCACTGAGTTGTATCTCTGGCCTTTGAATGCTTTAAAACACAACTTGTTCTTTCCCCGACCCGGGGTTTTCATTGCCTCTCTGCTGTTAGCCCTGGCCTTGGAAGAGATTTTCCTTGTCTCAGACCCAAAGCTCTGAATGAGCCCCTGACCTTTCCCACCTCCTGCGTGTCTCCTGCAGTGCGCAGGAGTCTGGAAGGCCCTTCCGCAGCTGCCAAGTGTACCTGTGTGTGCTCCCGACATGCCTCTTCCCTCTCCAGGAAAGTGTGTCGTTATCTTTGTGATCAGAGTTCAGGAGAATGGTTCAGATTTACATTTATTCTCAGAAAACCAAAATACTGTTTTCCTTTTCTTTGTTTGCCAACAGATAAATTTAAAATTGGTTAGAAGAATACTTGAAGTTTAAAATACAATAGAAAAATTTAGATTTTTTTTCTGAATTGTATAACAGTAAAATATAAAGTCTGTAAGTTAAAAATCTATTTTTCAGGTTTATTTATTTGTTTACTTTTTTTTTTTTTTTTTGGTACTGGGGATCAAACTCATGACCATACGTTTGCCAGGCAGGCGCTTATGCCACTGAGCTAAATCCCCAACCTTTTCCTTTTCTATGACAGCATCTCACTATATAGTCCAGGCTGGCCTAAAACTAATGGTGATCCTCCTGCCTTAGCCTCCCAACTGCTGGGATTACAAGCAGATGCCATCATGCTGACTAGGTTTGTGTTTAAAATTAGAAAGTGCCTCTTATAAGAATACAACAGATTATATGATTCATTTTGAATTTTTAAAAAATTAGGTTGTAGAGTTTTTTTAGAAACACTCATATTTCCTATTTTACTTACCAAACATAACTTGAATATAAAACAGTAGTTTCTGGTGTGGATTAATGTAAGCATTCGGTGCTATGCTTCGTATAGCAGTGGTCAAAGTAAGAATGTTGTTTCCAAGTGTTGCCTGGTCCCCTGGTGACCAGTGATTCCTGTACATTTCCTGAGACTGTTTTCAGGTTCACCTGGGTGCTAGAATTTCTGAGGTTGTTCTAAGTGAATACTTGGGTAATTTAGGGTACTTTATTCAGTGAGAAGGCCTTTGTTTTAATATCAGTCAAGTGCGTAGTTCATAAGCTGAAATTCTCCTACTGGGCCTTTCACGTTTTTTAGCAGTAAGATTTTCTTTTCTTTGTTTGATGTGGACAGAACAAAACAGAAAGGTGCCAAAAAGAAAAGTTAAAAATTCTAAAACTTCATGACTTAAGAAAACAGAAAATTGATAGTTTAGAGACTTGAAATGAGATTGGAGATATACAGCTAACGGTAGAAAAAAGTATCTGTATTGTGTTTTCTTCCCCGTGAAATTTTCCCTCTGTAAGCAGAGGGAGGGAGCAAGAATCTTAAGTTTCTAAGTAGTTTCTACCAAGGGAAAAGCAGTTGCTGGCTTCCTAAGCAGGGTTAACGTCTTTTGTAGAAAATGTGGGTTAAAAAAAGACAAGAAAAGTGCTGAAAACCTACAGGAAATATATTTAGAATCTTGACCATTTGCGTACTATTAAGGTGCTGTGTTGTTGTTATTCTCTAGGCACCAAAGTGGTACCAGTTGCTGAGTAACAAATACACCAAATTCAAGTCTGAGATACAGATAAGCATCACTTTGGAAACAGATACAAAGGCACCAGTGGATAGTTTTAAAGCAAAAGGAGCCCCGCCTCGAGATGGAAGAGGTTTGTGCATCATCTCTAAAGGCGGTTTCTGAGGAGTTAACCATGGATGAGGACTTCGGGAAGGGGAGGAGACTGATGCAGGAGTGTAAACAGATTTTACAGTAATGCCGTGGACAGGTATTGTGACGCTGTTACACAGGCAGCACCTGTTGCTCTGCTCATAGCTCTTGTTTACAAATCTTAGAAGTAGGAAAATCCCCTCGTTAGATATATAATAGAACAAAGAACGTTTTCTATTTTTAAAAATTGGTGCTTAAGTAAATTTACTTTTAGTGTGATTATAGGAATGCCTTCAAAAAGATGTGCTGTTCTTTTTTTTTTTTTTTTTTACAGTTTAGTGAAAGCTTCCTATTTGTTACATTCTCTTCTGCTTTTCTTTTGCGTGCATTTTGGAAAGTTCAGAGACTTCCCTCTGCCTCCTGTCCCCACGGCGCCATCCACTGTCAGATCTCAGTAGAGTTGATGTAGTTGATGAACTTGCATCGATACGTCCATTGCTTACATTACAGTTCACTCTTGTACATTCCGTGGATTTTGCTAATGTGTAGTATCTTCCTGCCTCTGTAGTGTCACACAGAATAATTTCACTGCCTCCTTTGCGCTTTGCTGCCCAAGCATCTGACAGTAGGTAGAGTTTGCACTCCAGCATCGATGTGTTAGAATCTTGGTCCTCAAGGTTGTGTACTGGTGATATGAGGAGGTGAGTCTTTTGGGCAGTGATTGGGTCAGGGGGCCTCTGCCTTCGTGAATGGGCAAATCTGTTTATCCATTTGTGAATTAGTGGGCTGTCAAGAAAGGCAGTTGATTTCACGAGAGGGTTTGTGATCAAAGCCAGTGGGCGGTCATGATTGCCCTTCTAAAGTGGTACCTGACCAAGTGGTATCCACTTGGTGGAGTGCCCATCATTAGGAAAGGTCTTGCCAAATAAGCCCCCTCAACCTTTAACTCTGGCCACTGTGAGTAAAGGAGATTTATTTTCTTCATAAATTACCTTGTCTCGAGTATTCAGTTACAGTGATGGAAAATGAATGAAGTCGACTACTGCTCTTTTTTCTGTCAGCATAGTCTGCCACTTCTAGAATGACATCCAGTTGGACTTCCCAGTGAGGAGTGAGTAGCCTTTTCAGGTGTTTCTCATTCGATGCACTCAGGGTTCCTCCACGTTTGTACATGCAATAGCTCATTCCTTTTTAGTGCTGAAAAGTATTTCATTGTCTGGAGTTACCTCAATTTGTTTACCCTTTCAGCTACTGAAGAAAATCTTGATTGCTTGTAATTTTTGACATTATGAATAAAGCTGCTATGAACATCTGTGCGCAAGTTTCTGTGTGCACCTAAGTTTTCAGTTAGAGTGAAACCAAGGAGTGTGGTTGCCAGATTTTGTGGTAAGAATATGTTTAGTTTTGTGAGATGTCTCCAAATTGTCTTACACCTTGACTACACCATTCCTATTGCCATTGGCAGTAGATGAGAGTTCCTGTTGCTCAGTGCTTAGTGTGCACAGCATCACCACATTTGATGTCAGTGTGTTGAGTTTGGCCATTCTGATAAGTGTGTGGTGGTATTCATTGTTCTAATTTTGGTATTCTTCACTGTCATGTCACGTTGAGCATACTTTCATGTTTATCTGCCAAATCCTCTTTGATGAAGTGTGTGGGTCTTTGGCTCATTTTTTAAATTGAACTTGTTTTCTTATTGCTGTGTGTTCTTTGTAAGGTGGGAAAACAATCTTTTATCAAGTGTTACTTTTCAGATTATGTTTTTCCAGTTTGTAGCTTGTTTGTCTCATGACTTTGGCTTTTACAGAACTTTCAAATTTTATTGAAGTTTAAATTTATCTTTTTATCAGTTATATCCTTCGTGATTTTGCTTTTGTTGGTGTGTTCTCTTATAGTATCTTCCAGGAACTTTTTGGTTTTTTTATTTAACATTTAGATCTATGATCTATTTTGAGTTAATTTTTGGAAGGTTGTGGAATGTGTCTAGATTCTTTTCTTTCTCTTTTGTATATGGACACCAAATTGTTATAGCAACATTTGTTGGAAACACTGTTTTTCTCCATTGATTGCTTTGGCTTTGTGAAACATCATCTGACTGTATTTGAATCTGTTCTTTAGTTGTAAGTTGGACCATTCTGGCTTGTTTGCCTTAACATACAAACTTTTGAATCATTTTTGTAGTATCTGCAAACATAATTTTCTAAAATTTGGTTAGGATTATGTTAAGTCTGTAGGTCAGTTTGGAAGGACTGGCATCTTGGTGACATTGAATCTTCCTATTCATGAGTATGCACTGTCTCCACTTTTAAAATCTATTTCTTTTGTTAGAGTTTTGCTCTATTAGAATTTTACTGAAATTCCTCACATCTTGTATATATTTTGTTAGCTTTATAGCTCAGTTTTACATTTGAGATGGTTGGTAGTGTCAATTGTAATGTTTTTATTTAAAATTCTGTTTATCATGGTGTATTGGAAAGTTCTGCTGACTTTTACATGTTAACTTTGTATCCTATCACCTTGCTGTGATCATTATTAACTACAAGACTTATATTCTGCAAGTCTTTTCACGTAGGTTTTCTAATAAATAATCACGTCCCCTGTTGAAAAAGATAATAGAGCCAGGGATTTAGCTCAGAGGCATAAGCGCCTGCCTTGCAAGCATGTGCGGTCATGAGTTCAATCCCCAGTACCAAAAAAAAAAAGATAACAGAATATTTCTTCCAACTCTGTGTACCTTTTCTTGTCTTATTGCATTAGGACTTCAAGTATGATTTTGAAAAGGAGTAATAAAAAGGGACATCTCATATCTGATCTTAGTAGACACAATGTTTTGATTTTCTGTCCATTAAGTATAATATTATCTGTAAGGTTTCTTTAGGTATTTTTTATGAAGTTGAGAAAGTTTTTCTCTAATTCTAGTTTAATGAGAGGTGGTTTTTTTGTTTCTTTTAATTATCACAAATGAGTGTTGAATTTTATCAAATGTGTTTTCTGCATGTACTGATATAACCATCTGATTTTTCTTCTTTAAACTGTTGATAATATCATTACATTAACTGATTTTTGCATGTTAAATGTTGGACAAGTCTTGCCATACCTAGCATAGATTCCAGTTGGTCAGAGTATATAGTTTAAATTCTTTTTGTGCATTGTTGGATTTGGTGTGCTAATATTTTGTCAAAGACTTTTTTTGCATATATGCTTATGAGATATTGGCATGTATTTTCTCCTGCTATTTTTTCTTTTTTGTAATGTCTGATCTTGGTATTCAGATGATGCTGATGATAAATAAATTAGGAAATAGTTTCTATCTCCTGAAAGAGATTAGAGAATTAATATAATTTCTCCTTGAATTTTTAATAAAATTCACCAGCAAACACCTAGATCTATTTTCTATTTTGGAAGATTATTAATTATTATTTAAATTTCTCTTATACCCCTTCTCAGATAGTTGTTTCTTCTTATGTGAATTTTGGTCCTTTTCATCTAGGTTATTAAGTTTGTGGGTATAGGCTTGTTCACAGTACTGTTTTATTTTTCCTTTCATGTCCATAGGATTCATAATGGCATCCTCTTTTTCATTTCTGATATTAGTAATATGTGTTCTCTCACTTTTTTTCTTGTTAGAGGCTAATTGACTATCTTTTCAGAGAAATGACTGCTGATTTTGTTGATTTTCTTTTTCCTCCAATTGATTTCCTGTCTTCAGGTTCATTGATCTGCTCTAAATTTTATTATTTTCTCCCATATTCTTTGGAATTCATTTGTCTTTGTTTTTTTTTTTTAATATTTCTAAGTGGAGGCTTAGACAATTGAATTTAGATTTTATTTAACGTATGCATTCAAAGCAGTAAAGTTATCTCCAAGTATTGTTTTCATTGCATCACACAAATGCTGCTAAGTCATATTCAAATTTGAGGTTTGGTTTGGTGACAGATTCTACCTACATTACTAAGTTACACGTGTTGGGCTTGAATTTGTGATTTCCTGACAGCCTCTCGGAGTGCGCCACTACCTTTACCTAATTTAAGATACTCTAAAGATTTCTCTGACTCATGTTAAATGAGTATGTTGCTTAGTCTCCAATTATTTTGAGATTTTTCACCTCTCTTTTTGTTACTGATTTTGAGTTTAATTCCGCTCTGGTCTAAGCAGGTAGTTTGTGATTTCTGTTCAGCTATTTTAAGGTATGTTTTATTGTCCAGAATATGGTCTGTCTTGGTGAATGTTCCATGTGAACCTGAGAACAATGTGTGTTGTAGTCAGAGTTTACAAGGAAAACAAGACAATACAGGACTCTTAATTTATAGTATTATTTATAATGTTACCTCAGGAGTCAAATACAAGAAGTATAGAATATCTGTCCTTAAAGACCTAGAGAACACAGTTGAGGCCTGGAGCCTACATCGATGTCCTGCATGAGTGCAGCTGAAGACCTGGAGCCCGTGACAATGCGCCCCACGAGTCCCTCTGGAAGCCTACATGACTCACGCAAGTCTGTTTTACGGATACGTGATGGGAAGGCCCACAGGTCAGAAGTGGAAGTAGAAAGTCCTCACCAGGGAGTTGAAGGATCTGTGCCAGGAGGCTGCAGGTTCTCTCTGGAGCCAAGAAGCAGTGCTCAAAATAAGGACGAGGGCTTCCCCAAAAAGTACCACAGCCGTCCTCAGTTACAACGAGGTTGTGAGCTCCTCTGATGAGAACAGCTGAGTCTATATTAGGAAGCCAGAGTGATAAGCTTCTCCTGGAGATTGAACAGCATATGATCTTCCCTTCCAGAGCCAGGAAGCGATGCTTAAAGTAAGGACCAGAGCTCCCGCAAAGTGAACCACAGCCATTCTCAGCAGTAAGGTCCCGAGCACCTCCAGTGATAACCACTGAGTTCATGTCAGGAAAGCCAGCACGACAAACTCCTCTAGGTGAACCAACAGCTCCAAACAACAATACTTAGTTGGGAGAACCCACAGTGCTCCTGTTTCTCTCCACTTCTCCTTACTATGCTAGCAGCAGTCCTGAGGTAGACCATCTACACCACACTGATTACGTTCACCTGGTGTTTAAGTTGACTATCAGTTTTCAGTCCATTACAGTCCATTACAGTGTGTTCGCTGCTGTTGGTGGATGAAGTAGTCTGTCCAGGTAATTGATGGTAGTGTCAAGTTCAGCTGTGTCCTTACTGATGCTATACCTTCTGGATCTTTCCACCAGGGAGGGTTGGAAGATTCAAGCTGATGTTTGTGGACTTGAGTGCTTTTCTTCACACTTTTTACCGGTTTTTGCCTCATGTATTCTGATGCTGTATTGCTGGTATATATATGTTAAAGATTGTTATGTCATCTTGGAGAATTGACCTTTTTATCATAGTGCCCTTTTTTCTCCCTGAGGACTCTCCCTAGTCTGAAGTATCTTCTATCTGAAATTAATGTAGGTTTTCTACTCTTGCGTCCTTTTTGTGCTGCATAGTATATCTTTCTCCATCCCTTTACTTTTAATGTGTATTTGTCTTTATGTTTAAATGAGTTTCCTACAGACAACATATAATTAGGCATTATTTTGGATCTCCTTTGACAATATCTGTTTCTAGATGGTACATGCAGACCATGGATGTTTAAAGAGATTATTGATATAGTTGGGATTAAGATTGATCATATTTGTTGTGTGATTTATTTATTGCCTTTGTTCTCATTTTGTTTTCACTCTTTGTCTGCCTGTTTTGGTTTTAATTTTTTATAATTTCATGTTCTTTTATTAGCATATTAGACCTATACTTTTTTATTACTTTTTAAAATTGTTGCCCTTAAATTTATAACTAATTCAAGTCTACTTTCAAATATTATATGCCACCTCATGAATAATTCAAGTACCTTTTAATAACAAAATATATGAATCCTCTCCTGTCCTTTGTATCACTGAAGTCAGAGTTTATAGACACATGCACATGCGCACACATGCAAACACCTGCACACGATGAGTAATTATTGCTGTTATTATTTTGAATAACCCATTCAACCAGTGAAGAATTTAAAACCCAGGTTCAGTAGTACTGACCTATAACCCTTGGAGAGAGAGAGAGGCAGGAGGACCACTAATTTGAGCCAGTTAAGCAGTTTTCAAAACAAAAAGGACCAGCAGTATAGCTAAATGTGAAGGCTCTGGGTTCAATCCCAAGTATCAGCAAAAACAAGTAAGTGGTAAGTTTTTATTCTACCTTCACTTATCCTTTGGTGCTTATCTTTTCTATATTTAGATCCATGGTGCTGATGCATATTATTTTCCTTGTCTCTGAAGTTTTTTTCAACATTTCTTGCAAAGGTTGTCTCTTAGCAACAGAGCCTCTCAGTTTGTGTTTGAGAAGATCTCTATTTTTCTACCTGTCTCAGTAATATCCTTTACAGGGTAAGGGCTTAATTTAGGATTGGGTGTTGCATTTAATTATCATGTAATAGACTCTTAATCATTCATGACCTTGCATTATCTTGCAGCTGTTGAATTGTTATTTCCTGATTCCTTGTTATTTTTAAAAGATCTTTCCCGTTCACTCGCTGCAATCTTGTCTTCGAGGTCTGAAATTCTATCTTCACTTTCGTTGAGGCGATTTTTGACAACTTTCAATGGAATTTTTGATTTCCTATATATCTCTTTAAATCTGCTTCATGTATTCTGTTTGCTTCTTATATTGTTAATCCAGGAATTCTTTTTGTTTTGTTCCTCTAATTTTTAAACTGTGTCTTCTTTAGATGTGTTCAGCATCTCTGTCATTACTTTTATCATTTCTTCTTTTACCTGGGAGATTATTTCTAGTTTAAATTCCTTAAAGCTTCCCAGAGTTGCTTCTTTATTTCAGTTGCTATTATTTCAGGTATTTCAGGTGTATGGCATATATTTTGTTCTATGTACATAGCTCCTAAGCTTTCTTGGGATGGGCTGGAGGTTTGAGTTTGCATTTTGGTCTTTCGTCTTGTCATTTTCCTATATTTCCCTGTTTCAAGTGTTGTTCCAAGGCTTCCCTGAGCCTGTTGGAAATCGTCTTCTATGCCCTCAGCTCCTGGGACTCTGGCCACCCAGTTCCCCGGATTGAGAGAGGGTCACTGGGGATGGCCCAGGCAGGCTGAAAACTATGGAGCCAGAGCCGGTTGAGTGTGGCAGGAAGCTGGGAGGTTCCTTGACCACTGAGAGCAATGATGTTAAACTCTCGGGGCTTGGGATGGTGTGCAGACACTCACCTCTGGCCGCCCAGTTCCCTAGATTGAGAGAGGGTCACTGGGGGTGGCTGCTCGAGTGTGGCAGGAAGCTGTGAGGTTCCTTGACTACTGGGAGCGATGATCTTAAACTATCACTCGTGACCTTAGAACTGTGTAATTTCTAGAAGGCCTCTTGATTTAGATTTGTCTGAGCTGAGATTTAGGCTGTAAGTGTTGGCGAGAATGTCCAGAGGTAATACCGTATTTTTATTAATCCTATCAGGTAGCATAAGTTTGATTTGCCCATTACAGATGATCCTTGCTTTAATTACATGATTGATGTGGTATCAGTGTTCTCAGCTGTAAAGTTGCCCTTTTTTTTTTTCTAATTAACAGCACTTTATTGTTAAATCACAGAAACTTTAATACAAAACAAATCACTAAGTCCATTTAATAGCAAGTGGCTGGTTTTGCAGCCTCCCAGAATGGAGGACAGACCTCAGGGGTCAAAGGTTGCTCTTTTTCTCCTTTGTAATTAATTTTTTTGTGGAACAAAATTGTAAAATTAAGAAAAATATTTCATTCCTCAAAGGCTTCCAATTTATTCATTAATTTTATAACAGTATGAAGTCATTGTTTTATTTCATACTCTATAATCTTTAAATAGCGATTTGCATTTTTCCCAGGTTTGGACAGCCATTTCAAGAGAACTTCTGTTTCCTTTTCACTATCTTGTTTTCTGGCATGAGAAGATACTCTGGACCCATCTTTCCCAGTCTCAGTCTTGGATTTAGCTATCCATCCATCCCTCCATCTGTCGCTCGTCCATCCATCCATCCATCCACTTGTATATATACATACTGTGTTAGCTAGTTGCTACTCTAACAGCATACTGAGTAGTTTAAACTGAGTAGTTTATACAGAGGAGAAATTTATTTCTTACAGTCCTTATGGAGGAGGCTGGAAAGTCTAGGATCAGGCCTTCCATTTTGTGAGGTGGAAGGCCAAGGGGAAAGAGAGCTCACTCCGTTGAGCTCTTTCTCATCCAGTTCATAAGGTGCCCTCCTGACCTCATCATTATTAGAAGCCTCCCCTGTTAATGCCATCACACTGGCCACATATTTCAGTTGGAGGGGACTTACTTAAATATAACACATGTACACCTTTCCATATGTACTTATTTTCCACATGATTTGAAACAGCATGAATTCACACGGACACTTTCCGTTCCGTTCCTGCACAAGATTTATTGCTAGTTTTCTCTCTTGTATATTTATAATCCTCCCTGACAATGAGGAACCTCTTATAGTTATTTTAATTTCTAGGCTCTGTTGTCCTTATCATATAATGGCTTTTCTATATGGTTTGTTAAGTTGAAATTTAATAAATATTCTCTTTCTTACATACAGATAGAATGTTTAAGAAAGTTTCTTTGGAGAGTAAGAAATTAAAAGAAATCTAACTATATCCACAGATATTGCCAAGCAAATTTAAAAATACAGTGAGTTTTTAAAATCTTACAGTAATGTATGCAAACTATATTTTGCTTTTGTTTTTCTATATAAAGTACCTGCCAGCCTGCCTGGAGTTGACCCAAAGGACATTGTAGCGGTGCTGAACGAGGAAGGCGGCTATCATCAGATTGGACCAGCAGAGTATTGTACTGACTCCTTCATTATGTCAGTGACCATAGCGTTTGCCACCCAGTTGGAGCAGGTGAGATAATTCCCTGAGATAATTTTTATTGGATTAGTCACTTTCTGAGAGGCACAAAATTCCAACATAAACTGCATTCACAAGACAAATTATAATCAGTGACTATTTTTATTTGAATGTCAAGATTTCTCAGATAAAGTTTTTCTCAGGAAGCGTTTACTAAATCATGTTAGTCATGCTCACTATCAAAAGGGGTCTCACACACACACACACACATATATGTATGTGTAGATATCATACATGCTAATATACATATATAAATATATATTTAACATTAATATAATAAATAGAACATATATATCACCTTTCTTTAGATGCTTACTTTTTATTCCTCATTAATAGGTGTACTTTTGTCTTTCTCCATCAATTTCTTTATATTCTTCTCCATAAATTTCTACTTATGAATTGCCTCAGCTTAATATGCCACCCTAAAAGTTGTCAGAAAATTGTCTTCGTTAGCTACATCAGAACACTCATTCCCAAAGTGAAGTGGCGGAGCGTCCTGTATTCTTACGTTAACATATTTGTGCACCAATTTGTGCTGTACTATTGTTTTCGTTTTGTTTTGTTTTGGTGCCAGGATTGAACTCATGGCCTCGAGCTTACCAGGCAGGCGCTTATGCTGCTGAGCTAAATCCCCAGCCCTGTGCACTAATTTGAACTGCCATTTTATTCCTTGCCTCCAGGATGAAGCATAATACTCGGTACTTATTGCTCACTATGTGCTGTGTGCTGAATAAAGATCTTGTGTTATTTTGCATATCACATGTAATTCTACCACAACCTTAGAAGATTATTATTTTGATTTTAGTGATGAGGTAGCCCAATCTTAGGCAGATTTTATAGCTAAGTTGCCCAAGTATTTCTGACTATGTAGTTACTTTTCCTGCTCTTTCTGTTCCCTTCTTAGGCTCTTCTTTCTCTTATATGAGTTAGAGTAAGACAGATTTAAGTTCGAATCTCCTTCTCAATATTTACTAGCTCCTTTAACTTAAGCAAGTTACTTGCCTTTCTGAGGCTTGATTTTTTTAGTGTAGTCACGATAGTGCTATGGTACCATCTTTGCAAATACACATGAGGAGTATTATAATAGTGAAGTATTCTCATGTCATTTCTGTTAAGCTACATTTTGATGGTAAAAGCTTATTGTGCATAACTGACCTATCAAGTCCACAACTAAAATTAATACAGTGATACAGTTCATAGTAACACTAGCTGACTTACTTGGACAAATTACTCTTCCAGTTTAATTACTACACAGAGACAGAGAGAGAAGTGTCTGACCCAGCAATTCCAGTTATGATTATGTACCCCAAAATACTGAAAACAGGTGTCAAGAAAAATATCGCCAAGTGAATGTTTGTAATACCACTGTTTGTGGTAGAAACTACTCAAATGTCCATCGGCAGAGAATAGAAGAATATAATGTGATATATCTGTACTATGAAGAGTTACTCACTTCTGAAAGGAATGAACTGCAGATGCGTGCCACACATAGATGAGTATTGAAAACATGCTGAGTGAAAAAGTCAGACATAAAGACCACATACTGTATGATTCACTTTACAAATATAAAATATTCAGAATAGACAAAAAACTAGAGATTAAAAGCAGACTTGTGTCCGGCAGCTGAGAACGGGAAAATGGAACTGCAGCTGCTCACGTTATAGCTTACTGGTTACATTGTCTTGGTTCAGAGTGAACCATTTAGTTTCACTATCCACTTAGGTTCTTTGTTCTCAACCTAGTCAAAGACAATCCACCAACACACCTTTTATATGCCAATCACTGATTTAGATCAGAGGGATACACTGAAGCAAGAAGACTGGGTGGTGATTGTGTTCCTTCTGTTGTTACATATTGAAATTAAGGGACTAAAAGAAACTCTGCAGTCTCTGTAAACTCCAGGATAATAAAGAGGTGTTTGTTGTTCATTTGTTCATTTGTTTTTGGGACAAGATCTCACTGTGTAGCCCAGGCTGGCCTTTTGGTCCTTCTGCTCAGGCCTGCTGAGTGCTAAGGTTATACTCATGAGCCACCATGCCCAGCAATGAAAGACTTTAAAAAGAATATCTTGCCAAAGTGAGAATTATTAAAAATTAAAGATACATAAAATATAGAAATGCTTTGTGATTATCAAAGACATTTTAAAAAATGAAAGTCTCTTCTAATTTCACTCTGAAATTAGCAAACTAAAGGCAAGTATATTCCTTGATATTTTCTCATTTCACTTTACAACTCTGTGATTGGTATTATCATAGTATGAAACAAACATTTTCTTTTAACATTTCTTACAACCCTAAATGACTTAGAGGATAGAGCAATGAAGTTATCATTGATAGAATTGGGATTAGAGGCTGAAGTCTTAGCTCCAGAATTTATAGCTTTTTAAGTGTATTTATACACATGAACATATGTGTATATGTTGTATACACATACATGTTGGGTATATATATCTATATGATTAAAACTACTGAATTCAACAGTGTAGGATTAAAACAGTAATTTACGTTTCTGAACATTATGTGTCTGATATTGTGCTGTTATAACCTAAGTAACTGCGTTTATTTTCATAAGTTCTACTGTAACTTTTTTTTAACCTACATTGTCTCTTAGGTGACTTTTATGTCAGTGTATCAGTATTTAGCAACCATACTGAATGATAGCTAACTATATTTAAGCCATTTCTTGTTGATGGGCATATTAAATATTTATGGTTTATTGTTAATAGTCTAGTAAACATTTAGGGTCTGTTAGATATTTTCTATTTTATAGGGCAAGAATCCCATTGTTCAGTCATATCTAACCACAAACTGGCAACTCTGAGAAATAATTTTAGTACAAAAGCCATTTTTTTGCAGCTGTTAATAACAGACATTCAGGCTTTTTTGATTAAAGATGTAGACTAAGGTGTTTATTTTTGTTAGGTTTTTTGGCTCAGTTGAGACAGATACACAGAGACCTTTATTGTGGGCACTGGAGGATTGCAGAAGAGTGCAAGATTCCCTCTGACCAGAACAAAGAAGTGGTTGGGCTTTTATTCGGTCTGTTGGGGGAGGCAGGCAAGGTGACGCTAGCTGCTGTTTGGAGGAGCATTGGGCAGGTGAGAGAGGAAACAGGAAGTTTATTTGGCCCTGAGGGGAGAGGAAAGAAAAAGTTGATGTGCTGTTGCTTTTGGCTTCTTCCCATTTTGGGCCATCACCATGATGACTTAGCATGATGACTTAGTTTAAAACATTTGACCCTTCTAATATAGAATGTTCACTTACTCATTCTGGATTATATAGGTGAAATGAAAGCTTCGAAACAATGTAAACCTGTTTAAGGTTTTTTAGTCTGTGCTTTTTAAAGATAATTCCTTTAAAAAATGCTGAATTAGTAACTTAATAGTAATTTGGCAGAGATCTGCACAGTTTGAATGGTTAATTCTTTTGTTTCTTTGTGACAGGATGTCACTATGTAGCTCAGGCTGACGTTGAACTCATGATTATTCTCCTTCCTCAGCCTCTGGACTGCTGGGATTACAGAAATGTGCCACCACACCTGGATGAGTGGCTAATTTTAAGACAATATATTCCCACCTGCTTGAACTACTGGTGGTAAATGCATGATTGTCCCATCAGTTAGCTTGTACTACTGGTGGTACAAACAGATCTAATCACTTTTATCAGTTTTTTTACTAGTAAAATTAATAAAAACCCACCTAATGGCACAGTCATGCATGCACATCACTAGTGGTTCAAGCAGCCTGGCAATGAGACATATGAATTGCAGCCTTGTTGTGAATTTGTTTAAAAAAAGTTTTTTTTAGGAAATATTTTTTGGAGTGGGGGACACAAATATTTGGTGGTAAAAAAAATAATACTTTTTTTTTCCTTTAAATGTTTAGTTAATTCCATGTACCATGAAGCTCCCAGAAAGACAGCCTGAATTTTTCTTTTACTATTCTTTATTGGGAAATGATGTTACAAATGAACCCTTCAATGATTTAATTAACCCAAACTTTGAGCCAGAGAGAGCATCTGTTCGCATACGTAGCAGTATAGAAATCCTTCGCGTGTACCTGGCTCTTCAGCCTAAACTACAGGTAAGTAGTATAGCAAATTGTTTTCTATTAAAGATTTTTTTAACTGTTCATTCAGTACTAAATAAAAGTTAATCTGTCTTATTTCAATAATGGAGATCTTCCTTCTGCCCTTACTTTTTTAGGTGTTATCTAAGTCATTGGAATTATTGTCATTTCACAGTGTTAGGACAAAGGAAGCACATCCGTTACCAGTCCTTTACAGTGCAAGGTGGTGTTTGGAGACTGCGGCTGTGGCCACAGGCAGAGTTCTCTTTTTATTGGTAGAGATGTTAAGTGTAGGAGCCCAGATCACATACTTGGGATTTCAGGATTTTCTTTATTGCTATTAAAATCAGAGATAAGGATGAATTTCTGGTTTTGTTTTTGTTTTTGTTTTTTTGGTACCAGGGATCAAACTCATGACCTCGCACTGGCCAGGCAGGCACTTATGCCAACTGAGCTAAATCCCCAGCTCCAAGGACAAATTTCTAAAACTTGTCTTTGAGTTACAGTTTCTTTTGTAACTCTTTAAATTGGGTTCTATTTAAAAGTAAACATTAGTGAAAACTATGTTTATGTTAATTACTTTTGATTGAACTTAAGTAGTGAAATAAGAATAGGGTCAGCTATTTATTCAAAAAAATCTTTATTAGACTGGGCAGTACTATTTTTTCAGCAGAATGTGAATAAATGTTAGTACTAAATTTTAGAAATGCTTCTGCTATAAACTAAATACCATATAAATTAATAAAATGAAGTAAAATTTGTTTGATTTTGTTTCGTTTTTACCATGCTCAATTGTTACCAAAAGCATTAACTTTATTAGTTTTCTTCTGATAGATATTGAAGTCCATTGAAAATGCTGCGTCAGCCTATAGAATTATTATACCTAATAACATGGCATCTTAAGTTCAGCTCTCTGTTAAATCAATAACTATTGGTATTTGAGCCAAAAACTTTCACAATGTTGAGCTTGTTTCTCAAGCTCATTATTCACAATGTTTTTAAGGCTTCACTGTAGTAGGAGGAAGAATAGTTCCGTAACACACAGCTGGAACAGTGTTTTTGTTTATTTTTCAAAAGGTGGCAGTATTGAACTTCTGATTGTTATCATTGATTACTAGTACCTTTCATCTCAGAGATACTCTCTTACCCTTTACTGTGCATCCTTCCATTTGATATGTAAAAATGTGAAAAGCAAGAAGAATAAAAGAAGTACTAAATGTGTTTTTTAAGGGTGAATAAAATAAACTTATTTGAGATCTATAAATTTGAAATTAGATTAGCCCAGTGATTTTTATAAAACTGTATTTAAATTAATGTTAAAATGGAAATAGAAAAATATTTAAGATTTTTTAAAAATTCCCTTTTTTATACAATTAGCATATATAAAATAACATAGTATAATATTGAAATAACGATAGCTCTTCAAAAAGACCAAAAATAAAACAATGATAGCCTAAATACACATTACTGAATAGAATGCAAAGGGAATGGAAGTTACTGCTGATTTACTAGTATGTTTTGTTTTGTCACTGGTTTTAATAATCATGTGTGAGGATTACTTTGAGCAAGTGGGTGAGCTGACCTGCAGGGATTCTGCTATGAATCATTTTGTAACCTTTTGTTAACTTTACACTATTTAGAGAAGAGATAAAGCCCGATTTGCTTTTCTCTTTCAAATTAGATCCATCTGTGCTGTGGAGACCAGTCACTTGGAAGTACGGAAATACCTTTAAATGGCCTACTCAAAAGGGGCAGTACAGAAATCAACCAGCACCCCGTCACAGTTGAGGGTGCCTTTATCCTTGACCCTCCAAACCAAGCCAAACAGAAGCTTGCACCTATTCCTCTAGAGCTCGCCCCAACTGTGGGAGTGTCTGTGGCTCTGCAGAGAGAAGGTGTCGACTGCCAGGCAAGTAGTGACCCTTCTTTGTTCCTACAGCTTCTCTAGTGTCACTTGTGATTAACAAACATTGAGCCTCCGAAGAGTTACCTGGCATCAGAGTATTTTTATTATTCTTAATTAATGGTCTGCATTAGGACACTGCCATTCTAAATGAACCTTTTGAAAGAATACAGTGGTTTCCACTTCATTTATTTTTCTTAGGCGGGATATTGCTATATAGTTCAGGCTGGCCTTGAATTCACTGTCCATTCCAGATTGGCCTCAAACTCATGGCAGTCCTCCTGCCTCAGCCTCCCAAGTGCTGGCCTGATCGGTGTGTTCCGGACTCAGTAACTTCTACTTTATAACGAATGACCTCTTAACCCTTCAGCGGGGTTTCAATAGAGATGGGTGTCTATTTAAACATCTGTGTTTTTTGATATTTTTGCAGAATCAACTTTAACATTTTGTTCTTTCAAAGAAGTGATGTGTAGGTCGCCTGTGGACTAGAGAGTGAAGAACTGAGACGAGAATTTAGGAAGTGTGTGTGTGTATGTATAGTTAGAAGGGAGTGAACAGAGAAAACGTTCCCCTTTGCGATACACAGCATCTTACTGTACTGCTTTGCCGCCTGACTGTTACAAACGTTCCTTCTTACACATTAGGATGCATTTTGGTACTCAGCTCCGGGTGTTATGTATTTCTTTCCCATTGTCTTCCTTTTTCTAGTCCTGTATGCTCTAAGGCACTTTGCAGATTATGAAAAATAGACTAGAAATATCCAAACTGGGAAAGGAAGCTTATTTTTTTTAAACCTAACTTTTTATGAAGTTATGAAGAAAAGTATTGTGCAAATTATACTTCATTTAAACATTGTTTTTAGTCTTTAATTGACTTAAAGACCCAGAATGGACATGAGCCAGAACTTTCAAAGAAGAGTGTTTTAACTCCCGTGAAGGACAAGACGCTTCCTGGTTGCAGATCACCGGCTGTGTCTCCTGCTGCACCTCACAACCAGACATCTCCCACCAAAGATGGTGCCACAGAGAGTGAGGTAGAAAGCTTGCAGTATGACAAGGATGCAAAAGCACATGGAAAGGGTAAGGTGTTCTTGTCACACCTCTTTGTGGTATTGGATCTTGTAGCCATCTAATTAGACAGTGTCTATGAGAACTGTCATGGATTTTAAGTAAAAGTTGGAATTTTTAAGAACCAGAACGGTCTGGTGACATTAAATATTTCAGTTGAAAGTAATTTTAGCCTATTTAACTTTGTAATAGTTTACTAAATTAAGAAGGGAAAGAATATAGTTGTTTTGAATAGATTTTTTTAAATTGTTAAACTCTTGAGTAAAGATCTCCTGTCATGTTAAAGGAAAGAGCTTTTCTCTTTTCTTTTTTTGGTACTAGGGATCAAACTTACGACTTCACACTTGCCAGGCAGGCGCTTGTACCACAGAGCCAAACCCTTGGCCCCTGAAGAAAGAGCTATTAATTGCCTCTTATGATAAGGTGGTAGTAATTCTGTTAGATCCTACAGACAGTCTTAAGAATGCTTGGATCTGGTTTTATAATATTTTTCCATCTATTTAATAAGGGTTCTAGGTAACAATTAGTAGTACCCTATAAGTAAGTAGTGGTAGATTAGAGTTAGAATTTTGGAAATAAGATATAGTTGTATTACCGAGTAGCTGTGTACTTGGGCCACTAAACATCCCTGGTCTTTAATAATGTGAGGCAAGATACCTGTGTCTTCAAATTTTAGCTTCTTGTTGAACTATTTAATATGTACTTAAAGAAATGACAACCACTGTGTATAAAATAGTGATGTAGTTATACCTATAGTAAACCTCAAATTCAACCCTTCAGATGTTCAGTTGTATGTGGCTATCCCTTAGAAAGGTCAGTCATACTGCTTCAGTTCTACTTGTTTTCATGTTTTTGCAGTATTTGTTGAGGGTAAGCTTGCTCTTTATATAATTCTGGAATAAGAGTTAAAGGCTAGATAATCTGGGCAAGTCATTTCTAAGATGCTTAGCCTCAGCTAAACGTTCATAAAATAAAACTTATATTCCTTGCATGCAGATAAATGAATGAGAACTTTAAATTGTTTGAACAACTTTTTAAAAGTGATGTGTCCATTTCAGGCGCCAGTTCCTCTGTACCAGCTCCCCTGGCCCTACCAGTTGCTCCATCCAGTGCTTCAGAAGCAGCCTCTGCACAGAAGATTGCTGTTCCCACAGCCTCCCATCATTTCTGCTTTGCAATAGACCTAAGGAGTATCCATGGCTTGGAACTTGGTTTTCCAGTCAACTGTATATTGAGGTGTGACTTTTATTTGAGGAAAAATGTCTTTGGTCTAGTTACAGAATTGCAGAGGGAAGTGCCACCAAAAATATAACTTTTGTTAAATCAGTAGGCTGAAGGGGTAAGGCTGTATCTTGATGACTTTGAATTGAACCACAGTGGCATTGATTAATGCCTTTGCTATTCTGGAGTAATAATTGTAGATATTTTAATAATTTATTGATGATTCTATTTAAAATGCAATGACTTCTGAACTTTAAAGGTTTTTATTGTTTTGTTTTTCTGGAAAGAGATCCTGTGGGTTACTATAATGGTAGGGCATGTTACCCAATTTTTCTATAAACCTTTATTATAACGAGAGGCTGTATTCCTGATATCTGAATTTTAAAGTTGTGAATATAAAAGCTATGTTTACTGAGCTGGAATGGAATGTGTCCAGTGTTTGTTATAAATAAATATGAGCCAGTTGCAGTGATACAATGGAAATCTTTGGAAACCTTGGCAGAATTGCAAGTTTGATTCCAGTCTTCCAAAAATTTATGTATACACACTCACACACACACACACAAACACACGTACACAACAGTTAAATGGTTTTACGCAATGGTCTGCTTTTAATGTTGTTTCATTTTCATAGACTTTAGTGACTGAGATATAAAATAAAATAATGCATTTGATGTATTTAGTTTTTCCTCCACTTAAATTTCTTTGAAGGAGTCATTAGCATTTAAAATCAAGTTATTGGTCTTCCTATGATTAAAATGAGAAAATATTTTTTTTAAACTAGGGTAGTATTTTTATTAGTGTCGCTGGCATAGTGTAATTCCTCCTAGGGAGAGTGGTACCCTTCCTTTTGTTACTGATTTATCAGGGAGAGGACATGTGTGCAGTGTGGGATTACCATGTGGAGTGGGTACATGCACATAACACATCTTCACTCTTTTTACCTCCCTGCTCTTCCCCTCTTTGCCTCTGTTCTCCATCTCTTGGTTCTGTGTCCTTTTACAAAAACTGTGTCTTCCCACTTATTATTTTTTATTTTCCTCTTTAATTTATTTATACTTTGGATTTCTCTTATTTGAGAAACCATATAGTATATAAGTGCGTGTGTCTGACTTATTTCACTTAGAATTATAGTCTCAAGGTATATCAATTTTTCTACAAATGACACAGATTTATTCTTGTTTAAGACTGAGCAATATCCATTGTGTATAAATCCCACATTTTCTTTATCCATTCATCTATCGATGGACATTAGACTGCTTCCAAGACTGAACTAGTATGAATTGTGGTGATGTAAGCATGGGTGTGGAGCACTGTAATACGATGTTTGTAACTCTTCTGGGAAGACATGTAAAAAGGGAGTGGCTGGGTTGAATGAAATTCGTAGTTTTAGTGTTTTGAGGAATCTCTATATTTAATTTCTACAGTGATTGTGCTTGCTTACATCCCCAAATTGTTTCTGTTTTAGTGTTTATGTCTTTGATCCATTTTTTATTTTATTTTAGTGCATAGCAAGAGATATGGGTATAAATTTGATCATCTGCACGTGGATAGCTCGTTTCCCCAGCACCGTTTGTTAAAGGGGTGTATGTTCCTCCTCCAGTGTGTGTTTTTGTCTCTTTATCAAAGATCAGATCATTGAACGTGCCTGGGATCGTATCCACTTTGTCTGTTTCTTTGATCCACGTCTGTTTTTGTGCCTGTATCTGGCTGTTCTTAATACTGTACTTCTTTAGTGTGACTTGAAATCTGGGATAGTGCTGCCTGAAGTGAGATCTTTGTTGTTTCGAAACGGCGCTCCTCTAGGTCTTACTAACTGCACATTGTTTCCTGCTGTTATCTGAGGCATACCTGCTTCTCATGTGGTAAGTCAGTGCTTGTTTCCATCTGCGTTTTCAGTGGTTTGCCTCTTTCTTGTTCTAAATCCTCTGTTTTTTGGTATGAATAATGGATAGCATTAGAGGGACCTAAAACTGAGAATGAACATGAACTCATAGAATCAAAGTTTTCTGTCTCAGCTTAAGTTCTATGGTTTACAGTTGAATGCTAACTTACTGCTAAAATGTTTCTCTTTGGAAATTGAAGGCTGAAAAAATATTTTCTCTTTCAGACGTACTTTTTCTGAAAAGGTTTGTTTTCTCTATTTGAGAAATAGAATTGTGGCTCTCTCTGATTTGTCTTTCCCCTTTATCTCTCTTCCACTATTTCTAGACAGTCTGATCTCAGTGTGCCTAGAGAAGATGTGGCTGTGAGCACAGAAACAGACAGAATGTAAAATCAGTTGCTCTGAGGGAAAAAGCATGAATAAGCCTACTTAGAAACACTAATATAAATTCTTGTTTACTTCTTGCCATTAGGACCATTTCTGTAATCAGTCAGCGCCTATACTATTTCATCAGTGCCTGGCATTAAAGGTCCATGAGCCACACACACAGCTCAACTTAGGAAGACAAATTCACAAATTAGTAACTATAGAAAAGACAATAGTTGTTCACTTGGCAAAGGAAAATAACATTCTAAACAGGAGAGATAGTTGCAGCCACTTAATACTCTACATGGAATTTGCTAGTTGCTGGATCTATCTGATCCATTTAAGGCACTTTAAAAACTATGCTAGCTGTTTATTTTGATTTTGGTAAATTTTAGATTGTGGTGCTCTGTGTTGATGTGAAACCGTGATTTGTAAACTGTATTATAGGGTTTGTGAGATTTTGGTGGTTTTTGAACAGATTAATCCTGTTATTATAATCCCTGGATTAGGTGGTGGGGAATGAAATTCTGGGGCATGAACTGTCTTTGAGAAGACTTGACTTTGGTAGATGTGTAGGAATTGGGTAAATGTGCAGAATTTTTTCTTTCTTTAGTAGCAGCAATTTTTATTAGTACTGTTTAAATTTTAGTTTTTCACATATATCATAAGATATAGGATAAAACCAGACTATAAGTCTCATCTGTAGACCGTATTGTAAGACTTTGTATTTCTTAAATCCTAGGTATTCATACCCGTTTTTTGGAAGTGCAGCTCCTATTATGACAAATCCTCCTGTAGAAATTCGAAAAAACATGGAAGTTTTTCTCCCCCAGTCTTATTGTGCATTTGATTTTGCAACTCTGCCTCATCAGCTGCAAGATACCTTCTTAAGGTTATGTATACACTGTGAATATTGTGGGGGGAGGTTGTTGTTTTTATTTGGTACCGAGGATCGAACTCACCAAGGCAGGTGCTTATGCTGCTGAGCAAAGTCTCCAGCTCTATATTTTCATTTCTTAACTTTTAAAATTGGTAGCTTATTGAAAGAAAGAATTTATGTAGTTTGCAACCCTCAGAAGTTTATGCATTTTAGAATTAAGAGACAAACATTGATAACGTCTGTGGTATCTGTGCTTTTAATACAAGTATATGTGGTTTATTATTAAAGACTTCTGGTTTCTATTACTCATTTGCTTGAATTTAAATATTTGAACTTTGCTAAAATCTGTAAGTAATGAGTGAGCTTGTGAAGAGGTCTTGCCTTTTCCTAATATAAGGAGATAAATAAGAATATTGAGCTTTGATGAATGATTTACTGACAGTGGTGGTAAGTTATTTAGTTTCTATTATTTACTTTTATAAACTGGAGATGTTAATCTGGCTATCTAAAATAGATTTTTGAATAAAAAATTAGATCCTCGAAATCCTTTACCTACTCATAGTATCACAATTTGTGGGAATAGTGCTATTGGTGGGAATACTGCTATTTAAAGAGTTTTCTATATTGCCTAGAAAGAGGTGTAGAAAATGTAATAGTGCTTCATGTTTGTCACCTGTGGAATTAAGCCTTTACCTAGTTGATTTTCCAGATAGCAAAAGTGTCTTCGAGTACATCAAGGGTAGTCAAAAACTTTAGGTGAGTAAAGCCTTTAGTTCAGAGTGATAGATATGAACACATATTTCTCTTTTTCTTAGGATGCCTTTGCTGGTTGAATTGTGGCACAAGGACAAAATGAGTAAAGATTTACTCCTAGGGATTGCAAGAATCCAACTTTCTAACATCTTCTCTTCAGAAAAAACTCGCTTTTTAGGCTCTAATGGTGAACAGTGTTGGCGTCAGACTTACAGTGAAAATGTGCCTGTTGTAGCAGCACAAGGGTAATGCATTTCCCAGAATTTGTTTGGACTTTGCCTTTTATCTATGTAATGATTCCTGTTAAAGAGCCACCACCTCACAACCTGATCCTACCATGTCCTCTTTTTGCTGATCTCTTTTCTTTGACCTCTGGGATCTATACTCCAGTTTACTTGTTAACTTGTTGGCACCCATTTTACTTCACAGAAGTAAAGAATCTTTGCTACTGTAATGTAATAATTCTTACTCAGAGTACTAAGTATTTTCTTTGTTTAGCTTAACAGTTTTAATGTCAATATCTGTTTTATGGTCTTGTTTAGATTTATAATGTAATCTAATATTATTTTGCATTTAGACAACGATACCTTTTCTCCTTGAAAAATATTTTAACTCCTGCCTCAACTCCAAAGTCTAAGAGTGTGGCAGATTTTAGCAGAAGCAGCTTTTAATTTCTACTGTATTTCTTCTGTAAATTATTGAGGGCTGGGGAAGTAGCTCCATGGTAAACTGTTTGATCTCAGTACCACCAGTGGTTTGGGGGAGTGGCTGATAGGGTGCAAGGCTTAGTTATAGTGTACCTGCTTAGCCCTGGTTTAGTGCCCAACTCCACAAATAATTTTTTTCCACAAGAAAGACTTGTAATTTTTATGTATTTTATCCAACATATCATTTAAAAATTAATAAAAATTCAAATCCAGTTTAATATTATATACCATTTTGTCTGTTTTTTAAAACCAAGACTGTAAAAGGAAATAAAGTTCAGCAAAAATCTTAGATCTAAATATTTTATTGGAATTTCTTTTCTTACTCTCCCCCATCTGTAGCCACCTCCAGAGACTGAAAGATTTTTTTAAAACTTTATTCATTTGGTAGATATAGGAGCAGTTGTCTTGGATAATCAAACATTTGAATAATGGAATCTTTTTTGTCTCCTCATACTGAAAATTTTCTTAAAATTGCCATTATTTTCTGTCTTTATAAATACATCATCAAAAGATTTAATCAGATAATTTCAATAGGATATTCAAATCAAATAGTAGAATATAATCAAATCATTTTCTTTTTTTTTTTTTTTTTTTGGTCTTTTTTTCTTTCTTTTTATCAGTACCAGGGAGCGAACTCACGACTGCCTGCTTGCAAGGCAGGCACTTATGCCGCTGAGCTAAACCCCCAGCCCCCTAATCAAATCATTAATATTTAAAGCTTTTTAAGTGCTGCCTGTTATGACTTTTACTTGTATTGCCCTGTTTTGAAGATAGTTTTAGCAAGTTTACGTGCATAAGTACCTCAGATATTCATGGGAGTTTTTCTTGGAGATACAAGTGTTTCATTTTACTTTATTCATTTCTTCCAAAAGATAGTAGGAGAAAAGCAGAAGGAAAAAAAGTAAAAGTTGGTGAATTAAGAGCTTGAGTTGTGTGAGCTCCATTTAGTAAAGTTTTGCTTCACTAAAATTGTTTGATTTAGAAAACTTGGTTTGTTTTGTTTTGTTTCTTGATTTGATTGATGAGAATTTATATTCCTCCAATGTTTTGTCTTGATTTTATTGTTGATGAATGCTACATGTGGTTCTATGATATGGAAAAGTCCTTGGTATGGTCAAAATAATATGTAGTTATAGGAATTATTCTTAGGTGCTACTTAAAGTAAAAATACACACACATACACACACAAAAGCCTCGTAACAACCTATATTACCAAAACTAAAAAACTGTTAAGTGTACTTCAATGCATAAACTTATTCCTATAATTTCATAGGCAGTGAACAACTATATTGGGAGGTTGTAAACCTGAGTGGTAGAGTGCTTGGCTAGCATGTGTGAGGCCCTGGGTTAGACCTCCCGCACTAAAGAAAACACGTGCACACACACTCACCCACATTTTTTAATTGTTTATGGGAAAAATGCTTCTGTTAGGAAAAAGACAAAACTGTCAGTATGCATGCTTGTATGTTTGTCTAAATGTAAATAAAATAGTGAGTAAGGAAACAAACTCAGTATTAGCAGTATTACATGTGGAAAGGAAGATTTTTAAATTTAATCTTTTTTTAGTCTTTTATTTTGAAAAGCAAAACAAAAAGAAATAATACAGAATTTCAAAACAATAAGAAATCAACACTAGTTAATATATTGCATATTGTTATCTTAGAAGTAGTTGTTCAGGTTACAGGATCTCAGCATAAAATATGATCAACCAACCAGACAATGACAGCACACATTGTTCTTTTTTGAACTAACAGAGATGAGTAGTATAGTTATCCATCTATCACGCACACATACACATATATATGGTTATATGTGCATACCTACATACATACAGTCTTTCCTTCTCTTCCATTTCTCCTGTCCCCATCCCATTAGTTCTGTCCTTTTGAGCACTTTTTTCCCTTTCATTATTACAGTATCTATAGTACATTTTGGATCTTATTACTCTTTCAATTTTTTTATTATTATTACTATTTACAGTAGGGTGACAATATGATATTTACAAATGTGAGTGATTGACTTCACTTATGAGTATGGTCTCAAGTTGGTTCCATTTACCTATAAAAGCCTCAAATTTATTCTTTTTTATAGCTGAATAATATCCCATTTTATGAAAATACCATACTTTTAAATTAAATTTCATCTTCTATGCCTTTTAGTTTTTAAAAGCTGAATAGCACCTTAGGTATTTTATAGTGAATATAGGTTATGCATTTATCAGAGTATTATGATCAAATGAAGTTCTTTACATGATAGGTCGTTGCCTCATAGAGCTGCTGTAACAGCAGCAAAGTGTCGGGTACAAACAGTATTGAGAGCTCAACACACAGCACAGGAAAAGTAAAAGGTAGATACTATAAAACTGTGTCCATGAACTTGAAGGTACTTATTTTATTTGTAGGTCAAATAACAGGATAGTAGATCTTTCTTACACAATGACTCTAGAAGATTATGGACTGGTAAAAACGCGTGAGATTTTTGTCTCTGATTCATCTCAGGTAAATGTAATCACATGCTATCCAGTTATTCTTTAAAAGGAGTGTATTGTATGTATGTGAGTGTGTCTTAAACGTGGCTTCATTCATATCTCAGGGTTTGTCTGCTGGACGGCAGAGGCCATCCTCTCTTCCTCCGGTGCCTTGTCCTTCAGAGATCCAAACAGAGCCCCGGGAAACACTGGAGTACAAGGCGGCACTCGAGCTAGAAATGTGGAAGGAAATGCAAGAAGACATTTTTGAAAATCAGGTTACTTTTTAAGTTTCAGTTTAAAAAATCTATTTTATGTTTTCTTAGTATATGTTTCCTTCTCCACACAGGAATTTTCTTTCCATATTTCTGTCTAGTTTTTTTGAATGATAGCAGTGCCCTACTGTTAAAGAAAAATAGAATAAAATACTTGAAATGTGACAGTTTGGCTGATGCCACTCAGAAGGATTTCTCTAAATTTTGTTCATTGTTATTGAACAAAATTTAGGATGAAGATGATTATTTTAATTTCAAGTTATCGTTCAGTATGCTGTGTTGGAACCCTGCACTATCAGTTTCCGAGCAACAGAATTAGATAATAGCATTCACCCTTAGCTTTCTGCTTCCCTGAATTACCCTTTCCTCCAGCAAACTCCATTTTTTTTAAAGACTAAAATAGAATGCCTGAAAATGTTAGTGATCAGTATTAGTTCCTTAACTGAAAACAAATGTTTTTGTTTGAAATATCTGGAGTGTTTTGGAGGTGACTTTATTTTTTTTGCTTTTGTAGCTAAAACAAAAAGAACTGGCTCACATGCAAGCTCTGGCAGAGGAATGGAAAAAAAGGGACAGAGAGAGAGAATCACTAGTAAAGAAAAAGGTAATAACTTGTAAAATCTAGGGAAGAAAGGGAACATATTAATGGTAAGATCTTTTTTCTCTATTGAAGAAAATGTTGAGAAGGCATAAACTAATTATAATGAATGTGGTGGCCATTATAATTGCCTCCATTATTGGAGGAGATAAAAGGATGGGTCAAGGCAGAAGGAAGACTTTTCACTGTAAGGTGAAATTAATTTTTTTTTGAGTTTTAAGATATGCAAATATATTACCAATTCAAACTATATTAATTTTTAAAAATGAAATATTCTAGAGAAAAGCATAACTCCTTATGAATTTTAACAGTATATGAAAATTGTAACCTGTAAGTTAGTTAAAAACCTCAAAAGTGTTTGAGATATTTTTAAGAATCAAATCATGAAATAAATTGCATCTTTAAAACTGATAATCTGAGACCTTCTAATCTCATCTTACAGAAAGCTAAAGTTCAGTGTTTTTCCACTTACAGAGTACTTATTATTGACTACCAGCAATGCTGGCTATAAAATTTCTAGCATACTATTTTAAAACTTCAGTTGGTTTCTATGAATTCCACCATTTTAGCTTGTATTGATGAACTCTTGTAACTCTGAAAACAGATCATGATGATTGCATGGCTATTTGAATTAGTCATTGAAAAAGTAGATTTGAATTTGCCATTAGCTTCTAACCTAATTACATTTTGAAGCTAAATACTTCATTTGTCCTTTAATATCCTATTTTGAAAGAATATCGTGAACTAGAATATGTTAACATGTATGACTGGTCTTTAAAAAAAGTCAAAAGAAATAAGTAGTTTTTTTTAGTATGATAAAATCCTTTAAACCAGAATTCTCTGAGACTCTTACTGTAGTATTTATATTCATTTTTGAACCCTGTTATTTTTAATTTTTTTCAACTAAAGCTTCTTGAAACATTGTATAACTTATTTGATACTTTGAAAGTTTACCTGGAAGAATAGATACCAACCTGTTTCCCCTTCTGCCTTCTGAATCAGCTAAGATGTTTACTCTGTCTTCCATGTGACTTCCTGTCAAAAATCCAAAAACAGCTATCAGGTACCCATAAAGAAAAGCGATTTAAAACAGTATTAAGAAGCGATTTAAAACAGTATTAAGAAGCGTTTCACAGATAAGGTGACATTTTCACTTGGTTGAAATTTAGTAGCTATCACTTGGTAAATACAAAGAGCATTCCAAAGAGAGAAAGCCCCTTTAACAAAAGAAGTCCGGAAAGTGTGAAATTAGTCTTCCATTAAAAGAATGTGGTTTGATGTGGAAGGAGACAAAGACAGGAAAGAAATACATACATATCTAGGATAGGACAGATTGGCAGGCAGGGACTGAATGGTTTGATACTTGGTTTAGGAGAGGCTTTCCAGACAGGGTTCCTGAGAGAACAAAGCCCTGCCCTAAGGCATCGTTGGTGGTGAGTTAAATTTCTCTTGTGCATCTCGACTGGTAGAATTATGTACCATTTTAGATGAGGTTTATGGTTCAGATGATGTACATTGTAGAAAAAGGTAGAGGTAGAGGTTCAAGAAACTTTTTAAATGATTTTTATATAAGAAATAAGGTAATCAGATTTCATTTTAGAACAGTCAAGTCATACTGATGAAAGAATAGTAGATGAAATAAACTAAAGTCAGAGAGACCAAAAAAAAAAAAAAAACAATATTTACAAATGAAAGTGAAGACTCTAAATTAGCTTTAGGGTTAGAGAAGATGGAGTGGCTTAAAGAGATCCTATAAAGGATGTTTATATCTGCAGTCCTCAAGGGGTCCATAGTACTGCCCAAAATCAACACTACTTTTTCTAGTCAGTTCATTCTCCAGAATAATTAATTCATAGTTTTCCTCTTATCAGACAGTCCTGTGTAATCTTCATCCAGTTTGATCTCTTTCTTCCTGAAACAGCTTCTTTTGGCTTTCTTGACCATTCTATTACAGTACAGAAGGTATCTCCTTTCTGACTTCATGCTAGATTTAACCACTAAATAATTGGCTTTATTGGCTTGCCTCAGGGCTCAGTCATTGGACTGCCCCTACTCTCTCAATACTTACTTCTCTGATGATCTAAGCCATTCCCTGGTATTATGTACATCAAAATTACATGTGTAATGTGCACAGACAGACACACACACTTTCGTATACTTCTGTCCCTGGCTGCTTTAGATTCTGCACTTAGCTTCTAAATTGCTTTCATGCACTGCCAATTGGAAGTCTAATAAGCATCTTAAATTTAGCATATCTAAAATCAAAGATTTTATCTCCACCCTCTGTAAATTTTCTCTTGTGATTCTCTATCTTAGTAAATGACATGTTTTGCTCAGTCGTTTAGGCTACAAACTAAGTAATCTTTGACTCTTCCATTTCACATCTAGTTCATTAGCAAATCCTCTTGGCTTCACATTTAGGAAGTATTCTGGAAATTAACCACTTTCAAGAACCTCCATCACTATTGCCATAGTTTTAAGTTAACAAGATCATTCCTAAGATTACTGTTTACTTTTGTAAAGGACATTTTTGCAATGCATGTTTATCTTAGAGGAAAAAATAGGAAGAGATGTAACAGTTGTCCTTAGTTTTACATGTGGGTGTATTTTCTATATCCTAGAGTAGAAATAAGGTTAAAGTGTTGGTTTCTAAGGAGCATTAAATGAGAGATCTATTGACAGTATGAAAGAAAAGATGAAGATGGAGGTCTGGACCTAGACGAAGGTAAAAGAAAAGAAAATTGGTTTAGAAAGTCCTTGTAATTAAGTTATCAGTGTAAATGGAAAAGTAGAAAACAAAGAGAGTCCTGCATTCTACATAGGCTGAGCAGGTAGGCTTGTTGTCTTGAATAGGACTCCTGTCTTTAAGAAAGATTGTAGGCCTAGAGAAATAAGAGTATAAGACTAGAGGTTCAAGTTACTTGAATATAATAAAACATCAGATCTGAAGTAATAGCTATTTTTTTGTTTTGTTGCTGAGACAAAATACTGACACTCAAAAGAGGAAAGGTTTATTGGGCTCACAGTTGTAGAGGTGTCAGTCCATAGTTGGCTGCTCCAAGGCAAGTTCGCACATGGCACAAGAGTATTTACAGAGGAGAGACCCTTCCAGGCAAGGAGAGTGCAGGAAAAGCGGCAGGCAGCAAGCAATGACAGCACCCCTCTTTCTGTTCCTTATGTCCCATCCAGGCTCGATGACCTTAGGGTTTAGGGTAAGTAACACTCACACCCAGGATGGGCCTTTCCATTATCCATACCCAGAACTGTGCCAGCCAATCAATGGGCTAATTTAGTAAGCACACATCTTTGACCCCAGCATCACACACTCGAGGTCCAGCCACCTCTGAAAAGCCCCACTGTGACCACATGAGGCTTTGAGGGGACATCTGGACACCAGCCATAGCTACCTAACTGGTGTAGCAGTTGGGTTAATTCTAAAATGAGAGAGTGTAAGGAAAGGAGAGATCAGAGAGACACTGGAGGATTTTAAAGATGTAGGTTTTTAACGTAGCACAAGATTTTGCTGTGATTCTGAGTGCCCATTAGGAGAATGGTTTTCCTTGAGGCACTAAAAATGCACTAAGAAATGTCCAAGCAGAAGCATGATAGTCTTCTTTGTAAAAGAACAGAAGAATTCTGCTTTAAATTGCAGAAAATTTGCAGTTACATGTAAATTTGACCCTTTCCCATTCTCAGACTTTGTTTCAGTGAAATGATATGTATTTTAAAATTGTGTGTGTTTTAATGAGAAAATAAAATACCTTTTTCACTATATTTTAGGTGGCAGAATATAGTATTCTGGAAGGAAAACTCCAGAAAACCCTAATCGACTTAGAGAAGCGAGAACAGCAGCTTGCCAGTGCAGAATCAGAGGTACCTCATCGACCTATCATAATATGATTTCACAGACTCTATACAGCTCATACCATTTACTTATTTTTGTTCCTTACTTTAATATAGCATATTCCATGGAATTATTTCTCAAAGATAGAGAAACCTGCTGTTTAGCTGGATAAAGCATGTTTCATATGTCAGGGGTAGGTGTGAAGGTGTTTGTTATTTGAAAAAATTAACTGTCATTTAGCCAACTTGACTGACTTCCATACTAGAAGTTGTTAACTTTTCTATTATTTTGAGGAAATAGTTGCACTGTGTAGAGAAAACACAGCTTAGTGCAGAGGCATGCAATCTTAATTTTTTTTTCAGAGAAAAGAGAATTTCTCTTTTTCTTGCCCATTAAAGATGAGATCACAAGAAAGTGTGATGCCTTATGTTAGTATTTTATACCCACTTAACATTTTAATGGATCTTAACTAAATGCTTCCCTGAAAACTTTCCCTAATTATTTTAAAATAACTAGAATTTTAAAAATTTACATGTTCCTTTCTCTAACCATAATGCCTCTTTCTTGATAGATCACCCTAAGCTTATCATTATTGTTTTTGAGATTTCTAAATGATTTAGGCATTTAAAATCTAAATATACCTGATAAGTGATTAGGCAAAGAATCAAAAGTCTCTGATAGAAGAAAATGAACTCAGGTACATTTGCTTTTATAATTAAAAGGACCTTATTTAAATGAGAAATTTAAATGATTAGGATGTTTTCAGCTGAATTCATATAAATTGTCCAGGAATTTGTATATTCTTATTAAGTGACAGTTGAAAACTCTGAAATCGATTACATAAACATTGATTATAATTACTGAAAAGAATGTGAAAATAAATGTATAAGTACTCTGAATATTTGACGAAGAATAATGATAAGAGACTGTTCAGCAGAATGGTGCTGCTAGTAACAGGCCAGATTCTTAAAGATGCTTTTTGTTAAGCTTCAAAGAGAGAAGAAAGAGTTGCAATCAGAGCGTGAACGGAGCCTAAAGGAGGTGCAGGACTCCATCCGTAGGGTCAAAGAAGATTGTGTTCACCAAGTAGAGCTGGAAAGATTAAAGATCAGGCAGCTGGAAGAAGATAAACGCCGACTTCAGCAGCAGGTTGTTATCTTCCTATTTTCACAGCTTATTTGCATTCTATGAAAAATGACTAAAAAGTGACAAAATTCACTGTGACTTGGATTATTAATCATATTTATTGCATTGAGATTTGAATTTACTTTTAAATTGGATCTTGTTTTTCTGAGTTAAAGCTAAAGCAGAATGGTAGAATGACTTTCTTCCCCTTATCACTATTTGCATGAATTATTTCAGGAGACTTAAGAAATTTTTTTCTGATAAATCTCCTTATAGCTCAGGTATATATTTGTGTAGCACTGGACCACATTCACCAAGAACCACATTGTGTGAGAGAATTGTTCATCCTCTTCTTGATTCCTTGCCTCAAAGTCGTCACTGACCCTGTCCCACTCTGCTTTCTTTTTCTTACTCCAGTTAACCAGTTGTTAAAGATGCCATCAATGGCTGAGTCCAGTTCAGTGATCGTTTTTTATTTCTCATCTTACTGAAACTTACCAACAATGTCTACAGTATTGTTTTTGTATATTATTGTCTCAACTTCTGTGCTGTCACTCACCTTGTTTTCTTCCATCTCTGTAACCACTCTCCACTTCCTCTTGCAGGCTTAAATTCCTCTATCTAGCCATTCAATACTGGCCTAACTGTAAGTTCAGAATTTACTTTCTGCTAAATAATCTTATCTATGTCCATAGCTTCAGAGACAATCTGTATATCTGGGACTTTCTCATTTATATTTTAGATCTTTGTTTTGCCACTAGTCCCGTATATAGGATTGTTTTTTTGAGATTTCTATTTGAATGTCTTAAAGACATTGTAAACCCAAGATGGTTTTCTCATCCATACCTAATCTTTCTGTAACTGTAATTTCAGTGATGGGCTCATCTATTCCCATGTTACAGGCAGAATGCTTTTGCAATTTGGAAACTATGACAACCTCCTTTTTAAAACCTTTCAGTGTGTCCTTACTCCCCACAAGCCTCTGTATAACTTGAACCGAACCTATCTCTCCAACTTTTTCTCCTGTTCTTTCTTACCTGCTATATACTCTCCTGTCACATTGGTCTTCTGTCAGGACCTCTAGTATCGCACGCTCACTTCTCTACACAATCTTCATGTGTGCTGTTTTTTCTGGGCCCTTTAAACTCTGTTAATTTTAGTTTTTAGCTAAAGTGTCATTTATCCCAAGAAATCCTTTCTGACCCCTGCTCACAAGTCTAGGTCAAGGCTTTACATATTCTATCATCTTGTACCAATGTTCTAATACCAAACGGGAAGCACTAAGTTTCCAAGATGTACAGACTAGTAAGTCCATGAGTGTATACATTTGTAATTTTCAGATTTCCTGTCACTGGGATAAAATACCACACTCAGCTTAAAGGGGGAGAGATCAATTTATTTTGTTTCCCAGTGTTAGTGAATTCAATTGATTCAGTTCATGGTTGGCAGTCTCCAAGGTGGAAACTGCATGATGAGAGGGCATAGCAGAGGAAAGCTGCTCACAACATGGCAGGCAGGAAGCAGAGAGAGCCAGGGCCAAGAACACATGCTCCAGGTCACACACCTGGTGACTGACCTCCAACCAGGTGCTGCCTCCAAAGAGCACTGATGAGCATAGCACTTCCAAGTACATATGATATTGGGTTGTGGAGGCATTATAGATCTAAAACATAGCTTTCTGCCTTTGCCCCTTAAGAGTCCATCTCTACAATGTCAAAGTCCATAACAGTCCAAATCCAGTCTCTAACTGAAGGGAAATTCTTTGCTCTGAGCCCCTATAAAAAGCAAAAGGAAAATTAAATGCTTCCAACACCCAGGGTAAATGTTCCCATTCTAAAAGGGAGAAAGGAAAGGGAAGACGGAAAAGAATCAGGCCAAAACCAGACCAAAACCAAGCAAACTAAACATTAAATCCTGTGGCTGTATGTCCTGAAACTGGAACAGATTTTGTGATACATGAGCTTTAAAGGGCTTGGTTGGCCCCACCCCTACGGCATTGCCAGTGGCAAGCCCCATGGCCTATCTCCTAGGCTGGCTCTGACCTCACTGCCTGTAGCTTTCCTTAACAAACAGTCTATGTTCCTGGCACATGCAGTCTCCTGGGTTCTTTGCTGTGCTTTTAGCTTCACTCTGACAGTTTCCTGTATTACTCAGTTGGGCGTACTGCTTAGCCTCCCAGACCCTCTTCTGAAATCTGGATGGAAGCCTCTGTGATGCCACAACTCTTACATTCTGCTGGCCTGAAAAACTATCGGCACGTGGATGGTGCCAAGGTCTGTCCGCAGGGGAGGAGTGGCCTGGCACTTGAGACCATTGCTGCAGTGACCTCTTGAGTGCCAGAAATCACTTTTGTAGCACCGAATGAGCTAGAATCCCTGGGTTTCTCTTCTCAGTGCAGTCTTTGGCTTTTGCACCTTTGAGGCTGTGATAGGTGGGGTCTTGCTGATTCCTGGGATGTCTGCAAGCCATCTTACCTATTGTTCCAATGCGAAGTATTTGGCTTATTTTTAATGCTAATCTTTGCAGCAACCATGTTCTCCATGGGCTCAACTTTGCAGGCACTTCCTTTCTGGTCAAGCTGCAAATTTATCAAATCATTCAACTCTTGGTTTTTTATTTTCACCTGATTTTCACTGTAGACCTGACTAAAAGTAACCAGCAGTACTCAAGCCACAACCCAAACATTGGGTTGCTTTAAAATTTTATCACAGATCAATTAATGTAGTATCCTTAATCTCTGTCTCCCACAGTCTCAGAATATAGTCAAAATGACAAATTTTTGCCAGACTGTACTGTCAGACTCTACTCCAACTTGTCAAAGGATTCCTCATTCCCAACTGAAACCTCTTAAGTCTTTACTGTTCATATTCCTATTAGCGTTCTGGTTTTCTGACCTCCAACCAGAATTGCCCATCAGTCTTGACTTACAGCATTCTAAATATCTGGCTTACATCTCCAACCTTATTAAACTTTTCCCACAAACCAAAAGCTTTTGGGCAGGTGCAGTCACAGCAACAACTTCACTTCTGGTACCAGTTTCTATATATTAGCCAGCTTTCACATCCCTGGGACAAAATACTTGATGTCCACAACTTAAAGGAGAAATTTATTTTGGCTCACAGTTTCAAAAGATGCAGTCTGTGGGAGAGCTGCTGCAAGGCAGAAACAATGTGGTGAAAGGAGCTACTGCTCCCATTGTGATCCAGGAAGCAGAGAGAAAGGAGGAGGAGCTGGGGATAAGAGTACACCCTTCTGGGTCATGTGACCCATTTCCAACCAGGCCCCATATTCAAATAGTACATTTAGCTACTAATTAGCATCTCCATAATACAATCACCTTCCGAACACATAAGACTTTGGAGGACATTTTTGATGAAAATCATAACGACTTTTTACTTTTTATATACAGAAAATCTTTTTGGGTTATTGTTCCAAGTTATGTATACTGTACATATAATTATTTACATCAGTAAAAGAAACAAATATTATCAGTGAGATAAAAATAAAGTATGTGTATCTGTATTCAAATAGAGAAAAGCTTAGGTATAATACTTGGAAAATTATGTAGTCTGTGAGCCAGTTAGCAAAGGAAAAAGAACCTATCATGCTTGGTAGCTGGCTGCTTTACAATCTAATTGTTACAGTAATTATTCTTGGTAATGTACCTGAAACTACCAAATATGATAGTAAGTTTATTATGCTTTTTGTTTAAAACAGAAAAGTGATTAGAGTGATTTCTATTCAACTTTCATGTTAAAAGAGTTGAACTTCAGTTGTGTGGAAACTTCACACACAGAGCATCTCACTAGATACTAGGTACCTGGTTAGAATTTTTTTTGTCAGTGATGTTTTTCAGTTCCATTTTGCCAATTTTCTAAGTATTTCAACTTCAGTTCTTAAATGTTAAGAAAAAAATTGATTTATCTAATGATGGACAGTCATATTAGTATATATTTTTGGAAAGAATGTCTAATGATTCTACTTGTTTTTAATTTTCAAAAACCTTCAGATTTAGAAAAAATATCTATGTAGGCCTTCTCTTTTTCTTAAGCCATTCAAAAGGAAATTACAGTGTTCAGGCAGGCCATCCCTTTTTTTAATTTATGAAGTATTGACTGCTTTCATTAGAACCTTACTTTAAACGAAAAAGTTTGAGTTCAGGTTTTGTTTCTGCTACTGATTAACTTACTGGCTCTTTGATCCTGTTTTTTTTTTTTTTGTTTATTTGTTTGTTTGTTTGTTTGGTCACCTACTAAAGTTACTGCAGTCATCATTTTCTTCATTATATTTTATTTTCTGAATTTCCTATATGAATATGCCTTAGAATAATATAAAATATACTGTTGAGTTCTAAAATGTTAAACTCTATATGAGATTTGTTTTTAAATGTCTAAATTTTTTTTTAATGTAGCTTAATGATGCTGAAAATAAGTATAAGACTTTGGAAAAAGAGTTCCAGCAGTTTAAGGATCAGCAAAGCAACAAACCGGAAATCCGTCTACAGTCTGAAATAAATCTTCTCACCTTAGAAAAGGTACAGCCAGTTTCTTGTCAATTTAACTAGTCCCATTAATAAATTTCTGAAGTCAGAATACAATATGTATCATACAATTTAATGTTTCACTGTAGTTGTTCTAAGAACATCTAAGAACTTGTCCAAGAATTCAAGGCACCAAACATCGTTAATACTTAAATTTGTTAGATGATGTCAGGAATAGCTTATAGCTAAGTAGAGCTTATAGTTAATTAGAGCAAATGTATGTAGAAATAAAAGAATTCTAAAAACTGGCAGGTAGGCTGAAGAGCCATTTTCAAACTGGGCAAAGAGTGGGAGAAACAAGGCGCAACCAGGGTTTTGTCACAGCAGCGTGGATGCCTTTAGTGCCTTGTCATTGGGTTTTGTATCCTCTGGTTCTAGGGTCACACCCCTCAACTGTCAGTTTTGTGGTAGCCACTGTGAATATTCTTTGCCCCCACTGCTCTCTAGATTTAATGTCATCGACAGGAGTGTTTGTTTGTGTCACATGCCTCTACTCTAAGCTTTTTACTCTAAGTTTTCAGTTTGGAAGAAGGGATGACTATCCTATTTTGTTTTCTGTGGTTGGAACTCAGGTCCTGCTTCTCATTTCTACTAGGATTCCCTCACAAACAATGTACAGGGGCTAGACATTAACAAATGTGCAGTGTGACAGACAACATAAATTTGACATTATATGTTGGGATTTGTAAGCAGAGAGAAACCAATGATGTAGAATTTGTGCTAGATTTAATAAACAAATTCAGTAGCATAGGTGAATACAAAATCAACACTCAAAAATCAAAAGCCTTCCTGCACATGAATAACAAACTCACTGAGAGAAGAATTTGAGAAACACCACCTCTTACAGTACCATCCAAAAATAAAAAATAACTAGGAACCAATCTAATGAAGGATGTAAAAGATCTTTACACTGAAAACTACAGTACTTTGATAAAAGAGATTGAAGAGAATATCAGAAAACTGAGATATCCCTTGCTGTTGGGTAGGAAAAACTAACATAGTGAAAATGGCCATACTTCCAAAACTTACACGGATTTAATGCAATTTCAATCAAAATTCCAATAGTGTACCTCACAGGATTAGAGAAAACATTCCTAAAATTCACTTGGAACCAGAGGAGACCTAGAAGAGCAAAAGAAATTCTAGACAACAAAGGCAAGAAAAATTGGATCAATATCTTTCACCATAAACTAAAGTAATTCAAAATGTTCAAAGATCTAAATATTAGAAACATTAAATCTGCTGGAAGGTAGAATAGCTAAAACTCTTGAAGACATTGTTGTAGGCAAAGACGATGAATAAAACCTCGATTGCACAGGAACTATCAACTGAGATCTCATCTTAATGAAAACCTTTTGCATAGCAGGAGAACCTACCAACAGAGTGAAGACACAACTCACAATGTGGGAAGAACTGTTTGCCAGCCATTCCTCAAAGGATTACTATGGAGAATGCATAGAGAAATTTAAAAAATCAGACCCGCCCCCAGATTTAAAGACCCAATCCAAAAATGGGCACCTGAGATTAATGCACTCTTCTTAGATGAGGAAATGTAAACAGCAAATAAAAATATGCAACAGTGTTCACCACTGGTCATTCAAGATTTGCAGATTAAAGCAACACTGAGATTCCACATCATCCCAGAAAGAATGGCTATTATTAAGAAATATACCAGTTACAAATGCTGGAGGGCCTGTAGGGAAAAAATGAACCCTACTCTACTGCTGGTGGGGGTGTAGACTGCTGCAGCCACTATGGAAATCAGTCTGGAGATGGTTCAGAAAATTAGGATCGGAGTTTCCATTTGACCTAGCTATTCCCCTATCTTCCCAAAAGAATTAAAAACATTGTACCACAGTGATATATGTACACCCCCCATTTGTAATAGCCAGATCTTGGAAATAACCCAGATGCCCATCAACAAAGGAATGGATAAAAATGACGTGGTCTTTTTATACAATAGATGCTACTCAGCCATAAAGAAAGATAAACTTGACACTTTTATAGGTAAATGGATGCAGCTTTATACTCAAATGTGAAATAAATCAGACACACCTGTAAGCATCATATTGACTCCCTAGTGTGAGAAGCCAAAAGAGCAAAAATAAGATCCAAAATGTGACATGAGAGGAAGTTCAAAAGGAAAGAGAAACTGGGATGGGGGAATGGAGAAAAGGGAAAATAAAAAGTATATATGAAATAGTAAGGAGTTATACTATTAATTCTCTTAGTTCAATTGAAAGGTTTGTGCTACTTTGTTTGGACAATTAAATGCCAATCTGTACTCTGAGTAACTAAATATAACAGAATGCAAAATATTGACCATTGCTGCCTTCCTATTACCTTGTTTTGAAATTTTTTTTTTTCTTTTTAAAATTAAAAAAAAGTTTGGCTAATGTGTTGAGAAGAGCAAAGAATTGTGATGAGACTAAGTCCAGATTCTTTGAGAGAGAAGGCCAGCTTTAGAGTGTGATAGATGCAGTTTAAAATACGGACCTTTATGGGCAGGGAGTTTAGATTTTAAGTCTAATAAGAATTGTACATCATGGTAGTTAGGTTCACCGTGGAGACAGTGACTTTGACTCAGAGTCTAGCTCTTGCCATTCACTGTCACCTTGGGCAGGTTCATTTACTTTACCATATTCATTTCCATGTCTTGGAAGTGGTGGTAATAAGATTGATAGAGGGATTAGGTGAGTTAATAGTAGTAAAATGCTTAGTACAGAGCCCAGATGTTGTTTATTTTTCTTAACCTTTTACTAACCTAAAATTTGAGGAAATAATGTGATACCATTAAAGCATTGTAAGTAGGAGAGCAACTTAATTTTTATATTTAAAAAAATTCAGTTAGTATGTAGAAAATGTAAGAGTACAAGCCCTAACTGCTAAAGGCCTATATAATCAATTGCTTGCTCGAAACACTTTCTTGAATGCCTTAGAACATTTCTCAAATTTTTTGTACTTTATGTATCTAACATCTTAATAAAAAGATAATCCGTTTACCTAATGATGGATATCAATAATTAAATATTATTGAGAACTCCAAAACACTTTGTATCTATTGATTATCACTGTATTAAAACCAGAATAATTTAAAATTATAAACCCAGTATATAACAATGTAAATGACACTTCTATTAAGAATAACCATTTTCTAAAACAACAGTAAAAACTCTGAGAGAATATTGTTTGACCTTTGTGTAGTCTCTTTAGTGTCTGGGTAATAGAAGACAGTGAATTCTAATATCTAGTTTTGGATTCAATCCACTGTAATATCACACATATAGCCTCTAGAAAACTCCACTGTACACACTTAAAGGAATGAAAGCAGTGAAAACAAACACTATTTTAGAATTGTAGAGAAAATAGCTTTGACTTCCTAGACCATTTACAATCAAAACTCTGGTCTTCTGGATATCTCAGAATGTCCAAAGCTAACCTGGGTCACCTCCCCTTAGAATTGTTATCCTCTAGTGCTACAGAGCTTAATAATTTTTCTGCAGCTTGTCAAATGCCAGGCTGTTTTGGGGGCTTCCTTTTCTGTATTCATGTGATTGCAAAGCTAACTGATTCTGTTTCTTACAAATTTAAGCAGTCTCTTCATTTATTTGTTGACCACTCTTATTTAGAAAAATAGTGAAGTTTTCACTAGAATAGCCAGTGAATTTGAATCTAGCTTGACTTTTCTCATCTCTCTTTTGATAAAACCAAGTATTAAAATACTTGTTTGTAATTATGAATTTTCTGACCCATCTACCAGAAATACTTGAAGTGCTCATATTGTGAATTCCCACAAGATACATTAAGTAGATGTCACAAAGTATTTCCGTTTTACGTGGAGGAAATTCAGAGACCAGATATTAAAATTATATCAGAAGCCTTATCTTAGTCATCTCTGAATACATACTGGATGACTAGTTAATAATCACCATAAAAATAAATTTTAAATGATTAAATTTCCCCCATGTCTTCTTTCATTGAAAGAGTTAAAAATCTTTAAACATGTTAAAAGTATGTTGGTCCAGCTTATTGAAAGAGAAATATATAATTGAACTACCTCTGTACTAGAACTAATAATGAATGCTTACTATTAAGTGCTTGGTTAAAACAAAGGCTTTCAGCTCTTAAAATTCTTTGTAAATCTTTTTAGAGCCAGAAGAGGGCAGAATCTTATTTCTTTAGATAGTAACAAAGAGCTAACAGCACAAAAAGACAAGTGAAAAGGTGTCTGAGCTACTCTGAAAGTTTCAGTTATTTATATCTGATTGAGAGCTTTGTTTTCCTTTCTGATTATCTATTTTAAGTGTAACAAAAACATTCCCATTTTTCAGTGAAAAGGTCTAAAAAAATAAGTGAACATTAAGATACAACTTATGAAATGTAATTCTCAATGTCTTATATAAGAAGTTAGTAGTAAATAATTTGTGATTTTCCTTTACCTAGGAATGTTCTTATATAATTTGAAAATTGAAACTTTAGGAAAAAAAGCATACAATGTAGTAGGGCATACAGAGGTTGAAAAGATAGAAAACTTACTAAAAGAATCCAGAAGTTTTTTTTTTTTTAATCAAGCTAAGTTATATAGAGTGGTTAAGAACAGTTTGCATCTGTTCTGGGGGGGCAAAACAGGAGGAAAGAGTAAAAGTGTAGTAGCCTTTTAAATACTGTAATTTGTTATGTAATTAGGAACATACCTCAGTAGCAAAACACTCTTGAGTAATTAGATACAAAGGAATATGATAGAAATCTTTACAATGAAGAGAAACCATTTGGTGTTTAGGATCTATTAGTTTGAGGTACCTCATGTATATAGGTAAATTTGAGCTGAGCCTTCAGATTTAGGCAAGCAGAAGAGAAAAAGAACTTGCAGGCTCAGGAAATAATTTGGGTGAGGAGGTTCTGGGAAAAGGGACACAAACCTGGCTGGAGTAGTGGGTTTCCTGTTGAGGAAAACTAAAAATGCAAGTTGAGTAGGGAGAAATTACATTTTGGGG